AAGGATTTATTTAGACCAAACCAGAGTTGGGGATTGTTGGAACATTGGACAGACTAACAAAGACAGCTTTGGTGAGTTTTATTGTGTTTCTGTCCACTTTGAGTGAAGTTACAATTATATGCAAGATAAAATCACAGTTTTTGTCCATGGAGTCTGGTGGTGAGCAATAGCAACATTAGCTCTTTTTCTGGTTGAACAAAAGGGTGCATGTCTGTAGCGATTATGTTATTTGGTCTGCATTTATTTTATTATACATTTATTTTATTCTATTTGTTGTTTATTTAGACTGCGTAACATATACAGAAGGTATGGTTAGTAATTGTTGGAGAGCCTTTATGCGTATGTGCTCTTTTTGATGTTATTGGTTGTTTCGTGTTATTGCATTGTTGATTTTATTTGTCAAGACACCCTTAAAAAGATAGATGGTGCATCCCAAGACGTTTATACGCTCATTCAATTTTGAAATAAAATCTGCAATCTAACCTTATTGTGCTGCTGCAAGACTGCTAATGAGGCTGAGTCAGTGTTTCTTTTTCCCGTCAGACACTCATCTGACTCACAGTCCCAGAGCTCACTGAAGCAGCTTTTAGTGTTTGTACACCTAAGACATGAAATTGACTACGGCTGCCTTCTGATGAGAGATTTGCACCAACTGAAAACCTAGTGAAAAATATGTAGCTGATTTAATGGCTGTGGTTTTTCAGATATAAACCTAAAGCTAAAAACTGTTGTTGCAAGTCATACATTTTCTCTTCATTTTAGTTTTGGTATTTTTTATAACTTAGGGAAATATCTAAAGGGTTGTATTAATGATCTGTTATGAACCGCTGACTGCAGTCAGTCACTTAATTTCACATTACCACAGCTGGAATGCAAGCATCCCGCTCACAGTCATTACTTTTTAAGAAGAGTGATTCAAATCTATGACAGATATATTACAGATCAAGCAAATTGCTGTTGTAACTCATCCTTTCTTTGTATCATTACCTAAATCTTGTAAAGTATAAATGAGTAATGATTCAGCCATTGAACACAACCTTGAATGCTTCACACAGCTTGAATGAAGGTGCGTGCATTCAGTCAAGTTATTGTAAGCTTTTGTTTCAAACTTGACTTCATGATTCATGCTACTTCTTGTTTTTTTCATGTCGTTGAAAGTGGTGCATTTTCAGATATAATGAAGTTAGGAATCATGCAGCAGGACCAACAGAATTTAAGGTTACATTTTATTGACCTTTGCAGACAGGATATGGAGAAATTTAAATGGCATCAGATTCAGAGTCAGATTGGTGCTGTTTAAAATTATACATTATACATACATTTGCATGTGTGCTGGCATGGCTATGGAGAAATCAGTCAATATGCCTATTCTCTTAGGTAAAGACCCAGGCCAGAGGTGAGGGTCACACTCCCACATATACTGAACATACATTATTTCCTGTTCTGCTGTGTGCAAAGTGTTGTTTTAACCATATTGGCTTCTGAGAGAGAAAATGATTATCTTAACGACAAACTGAGACTATCATGAGACTATCTGAGATAATCATGTTGGTGGAAAGTATATACTCAAGTACTGTACTTAAGTCTGCAATTTTAAGGTTCCTGTCTTTTTTGTTTTTGCTTCAGTAATCATTAGCCAAGGTGTGGATTTGAGGTTAACTCTTCACTTAAGATATGCCACTTATTTCCTCTGAGGCTTTTGCTGTGATTAATCTTCTGTATTGAGAGGGGCGCAATAAAGCAAGATCACATGCCGCATATAGACCATTCACTTACAATTTAATTGATTTCTACTGTAAAACACTATCATGAATGCTTGTGTTTACACCTCTACAGAAGACTAATTAATGAGACAGGCTGTTCAAAGTAATTGGGCTGAGGACATGCCATTCTTTTAGAGATATTGAATCTTGAAGTTAATGATTCCATCAGTATTTTTGTCACACTTTTATTATAGGTGCTATTTGATTGCTTGTCCACACTGCTGTTATTCGCACAGACAATAGTTTCTCTTCATTCTGCTTTCATCAGCTCACAAACGGTGTCATTGCATGTCACTGGTGCCCTGCAGAATATTATGCATCCTCTGATGGAGTCTCTGAATAAAATGAATCCATATTAGATATAATGAATAAGAGATTTGTAAAACCGAAGCAGGAATGCTGTCTTGTCACATGCTCTTCCTTCATGTTAAAGGGATGGTAAATGGAGATAAACAACTGTTTTTATATTCCTGAATTAATTATGGGAGTCTGGATTCATCAGTTTTATTAATGTAACTTATTGCTGGAAATCAGTAAAATAATGGCTACTCTTCAGATACCATTGTTTTTTTAATTCTACAGAGAAATGTCTGAGGTTTAAGTTAGCAGAAGTAATATTTTTGACTCTGTTTGCCTGAAGCTGCCTGTGAATAATTCACTATTTCACTGCATTTCTATGTAGACTACTCTGTAAAATGTCATGCAACTCTTTGTGTTCAGGGTGGAAATCAATTCCGTGTTTTCACCACCCTTTTCAAAGTGATCCATCTGTGGTTGCCATGGAAACATTCACATGAATCAACACCCAGAGGTATTTCTGAATGTTAATTTCCCTTACGCTGAGGGCTGAGGCCAGAATCCATCGATGTCCAAACTAAGATGTTTGCATCGACTAAATCTCACACCTTCCATTTTAAATAAGGGTGGTCCAGTTACATAAGGAGCCTGTGGAAAGATGTATTCGATCCCAACTGGAGTCAGTCTGGTAACTTTGTAATACAGTGTTAATTGTCAGATGCAATAAATGTGATGCTAAAACTTAATGTTAGTGGTTAATGGCTTTTTGCTTGTGGGCTTGAACAGTGAGATGAATTTCAGATTTGCCATGTCATTGTCAAATAGTCTAGAAGTAGGGCAAAGATATTGAAAAACATGTAAAGGCAAAAATAAATGATTTAGTGGCAAAAGTATAAATGGATGAAAAAGCATGTTTCTGTTTGCCACAGGTGGTCCCAGTGTGGATTTGATGCTCCGTCCCACCGGTTTGTCTGACCCGGTGTGATCCAGTTTGTTGATGGATGATAGGTGACAGCAGCTCAGACAACATGTCAGAGTATGCGTTTGGAACCGGAGGAGGCAGAAACGTGTCAGACTGAAGGCTGTGAAGTTACATCTGAATGATTCAGGATTCAGGATCCTGAGCCAACTCGGCCACCCTGTTGATTTGGCCAAATACTCTCCACTCACACCGGAGCGTGCTGGAGATGGTGATGTAGCCCAGGAGCTTAAATGACTCATGTGGGTTTACCTAGGTGAACCAGTGAATAAATAAATTAGGGGAAAGTCAATGCTTCCCTCAACAACAACTGGAGCTCAGCACCAAGTCTTCTGGGGCTCACCATAACAAGAGCTGGGCTTCTTCTCTCCTACACATGGATCCTTTAAGAGGAGGTGAAAGGTACCTCTGGGTGATGTTGTGTGCACACTTGACAGTTTGATGGATGGGTGTGGGGCTTGAGAAACAATTGCCAGGTTAAAAGGAGCATGCTCAACACTATTATTAAAATATAAATCTGAAACAAATGTGTCAGATAAATAAACATAAACAAATAAACAACATTGTACTGTTTAACCAAACAGCTGTATGTTACAGATTGTTATATCTATTTGTGTCATGGACCTACAAAATGTGTCATTAAGAGACTTTATTTAGCAGATGGTACTGGTCATGACTAGATGAATCACAGCACTAAATTAGCTATCGATGGCATTGGTTGATATTATGGTATTTTGTGTTTGTCTTTATTTAGATCCCCATTAGATTGTATCATTGCAGTTATTCCTCCTGCGGTCCGTCTAAAAATATACACTGTGACACAAAAGGGCAGACAAGAAAGACAACTTCATTCTGTTGAGGGAGTGAATTTCATTCATGCATTGATCAATATAAGACTATTGTTGGATTGAAAAGATGATATTCCATTTCTGCCAATAGATCCTCCTAAATGTTACACACTGGACCTTTAAATAGATATATGGGGTCTTTGTTATTATGAAATGTCTCATTAAAAAACATGTACTGAATATTGTAATTAACTTTAAACATCAAGCTATAGGAGAGACTTTCCCGCAGGCAAAGAAAGCTGTTATTATTGAATCCAATATCCAGATGTATATATTAATGTTTAGCCTGAAGATGTGTTAATGGTAATGGTCATGATTAAAGATGCACCATAAACATCTCCTAAAACACCAGCTGTGGATACTGTTGACATCTTTTGAGTAAATATGAGAATTCCTGAAGTGATTAATCTGATCCTTAATGTTAATAAGTTACTCTATAAAAAAGTGAGAAAACATGTTTGGAAATATTATATAATCATGTAAGCTGTTAAATGAACAATACTTTTTGGGCTAAATGGAGAACAGTTGGTGGATGAAAAGTGATTTCCTGTGTCTCTTCTGGGACACAGTGGCGTCTAAAGAGACAATCACATTGGAAGTCCCAGGCACCCATAGTGACATCACCCGCCTCCTTTAGTTTTGAAAACCTGATGCTGAACTAACATTACCCAGCTCCTAAAGCTCTAACGATGTCTACTCAGACAATCTAACTTTTCCTCATGTCCCTCCTGAATTGATTGGCTGAACTGAATCATTGTAGCAGACAATGGTTTGAGTCACTACACAACAAGCTATATTAAAGATTAATACAAATGCAAAGGTTACTGCCTCATTTGAATACAGGCTGATTTGGGTGCAGTTGCTGAATCTTTAGACGGACGATCACTGTTGTTTAAAGAGCATTTGTCAGGGAACCTCCTGATTTTGCGCTGATTGTGAACAGATTGCCGCGCGTTGCAGCCTCCCTCCATACCTTCGCTCTGCAATCCTCTTCTGCAGTGAAGTGTGAACATTAAAGTGAATGTGGAGGAGGAGTCCTCACTAGGGGAGAGAGGATGGGGTGGAGGAGCAGGGGATGTTGGGGGGGGGAGAGTAAGATACCAGCAACACAGGCAGATAGCGATGTACACTGGGAGAACAGAGGCTTCACTGTAAAGAGTATGAGCATCTTAACAGAGCAGGTCTGCTGGCAGTGTTGTTCTTAATCTGAGCGGAGCGCTGAAGCTTTGGATACTGTCCGCCCATCATCAGCCCGGTAGGTTTATCATGCTGCATCTGCATGCTGATTCTGCTGTTTGTGTGGAATATAAATGTTGGAAAGGAGCTACAACATTTGCAATTCAAATGTATGTATGATACACAATCAGCATTTTCTTTTTAATCATTTGATTACAAGATGTAGGTGTTAAGCTGCTCAGCTGATATCTAAAGTTTGGCTTACCCAGAGGAAGATTTAATACAATATATTTTGTTATAGCTCTGATAAAGATGCACAATATGGTGGTGTAATCTGTTGCCTTATCTGTGTCTGCTCATCATTTTTTAATGCTGAAGACTCTCCTGTGAAAATGAAGATGTTTTCCCACAAAGTCTGGTTTAGGCTGTGCTACATCCCCATCACCCTCCTCCTCCTCCTCTCTGGCTTGGCTGTTTTCATTACTCATTGTTTCATTTCCAAAGATTCTGAATTATACCCTCAAGTCCATCACACTGAGCTCAGCTTAAGTCGGCAAATTCCACAACCTGTCATGTCCCACACACTCTATTACCAGCTCATAAAGCTCCTGTGCTTTTCCCTGTTTTCTCTGATCTCCCCTGAGAGTCTTGCACATGTTCTGCGCTGGCTGGAGTCTTTGCCCTGATATTTCACTGCAGTCGGAAATTTAATATCAGTCCAGATTGTCTTCCCTAGTGGGAAGAAAAGGGAATCAGCCACACCATGAAAGGCTGCTAAAGTCAGGCAGAGCTGTGAGGAAAATTCCTCTGCAGCATCAAGCAGCCGACGCTGTAACCCAGCCTCTTTATCTGGTTAATAAGAATACATTCCTTCTATCTCCACTTCCGAGTCATTTGACTGTGATCAGTATATGCTCTTTATTTTGCTCTCAGTCATGATTCTGATTAAGCAGATAGACTGGCAGCGGAGGTTATTCTCAATGGATGTTGAAAGTTTAATAATGCTGAATAATTTATTTAAGCTGCTTATTGCTGAGATTTGAGCAATGAAAGCCAAAAAGCCTGAGGATGACATTTTTAATGGTCATCAGTGGTCTATATTTACAATTTTAATTCCCTGTGGTTTAGCTTTACAGTCTTAAAACACCAAGTTCTGTGATTGATTTATTCATTTCTGACATGACAACTGCCAAAATAAAATCTAATCCGTCCATCTACAAGTTGCTTTGTTGCAGAGCTTCCCAGTGAAGCCATATCATTTTCAGGTCCATGAATTTTATATATGATCACATTTGTGCTGCCATTCTGAGCATTAATAAATCATCCAGGTCTATTAATTAAGGTAGGATAATTAGTAACCTTCATTCATGCTTCCTCAGTTCAATTCAAGTCAAGCTACTTTCTTGCTTTAGGGTGATTCCATGAATAATAATTATCTTCGTCTTCTTTTGAGTCTAAAAAAGCCTGTAACGGCTCTAACCTGAGCTTGGCATAGCATGGTTGTATATGTGGGTTGTTTCCTTTTTCACTTTAATGGCTGGAAATTGCAAGCACAACACACATTATGTGGCGGTAAGCAAGAAGATAACAGAACTGGATGGAAATGTGTGGTTCTGATCCATGTTTTCCCTACTTCCACACAATTTGGGTTTTGTTTTCACGATAAGGCTACGGCAAAAGTATTATTTCTAAATGCAGGCCACCATTTGAAGGTGATAGATTTCATTTCCTGCAGAAGACTTTCCATTTAGGAGCCATTAATGGCCACTGTTGCTTTGAAGTCTGCATGGCAGAAAATGAGAAGTTCCTTTTTTTTTCAGAAATCAGCATGAAGAGCTGATTAAAATACACTTGAACCAAATACGGTGCATCTGGTTCCAGCTGCCCATCATTACCATTGGTACTCCAAAGCCTCTGGCAGTTGGCATTGTGTTGACAACCTCCAGAAAATTACCAGCTTAAATCCTAGTATTCTGTTGTTTTTTTTGAGACCAGAATTTTATTGGTTTGCCTTTCTCAGGATTACATACCATTCCTACAGAGTACATACCACATATCAAAATAAATACATGATAATAAATCCTTTTTTTACTCCCTACCTCCCTTTCCATCCATCCATTTGACCCCCACCAACCCCTCCCCCAGCCACCTGATTTCAACATTTTAATTGGATCTCACATAATCCTTATTTAGTTATTCTTCTTGAATTCATTTTTCTTCCCTTAAATATCTGTACAGGAGATAACGAGACAAAAATATAAATAAATAAAAATAATATACACAATACACATGAACATATACATACATACATACATACATACATACATACATATACATCCATAATCCCTACCCAATACATATGACAGTTACCATGTGGCTATAATTGTGATTTCACTTTGTCCAATGCTAGAACAAGAGCCTCTGTTGTCTCTGCGGGTAATTTCACCTTATTCCTACCATTTCTTTTGCAGCAGTTATTTCACAGAACATTTTTTATGCCTTAATATAGCAAGAGAAGAGTCATCATTCAATACAATAATGTTTGGTAGACAGGGTAGGTTTTCATCCATTATATCTGACACGGTTGTTGCTACTTGTATCCAGATGGTGTTGATTACCAGACATTTAGAATCAGAATCAGACTTATGTTAATTGCCAAGTAGGTTGTTACACCTACGAGGGAAGTGTCCTGGTGCAATTGGTGCATAAAATATACAAATACATATACAAATATACTAATCACACAAAAATCACACAAAAATAAAGTACTTTCAAAATATAAATAGATAAAGATAAGAAAGATAAGAAAAGAAAACTGTGCAGAAGACGGGGGTGCATTAATTTAATTTTTTTAACATAGTAAACATACAGGGCACGGACGTTTCTTGGAGATAAATAGAAACTATGGATAATTTTAGCAAACAATAGTTGTAATTACAAGAAGTGAGTGGACCATGCTCAATATAAAACTCAATGGCTATTGGATTTTCTTGTATAAATTTGACAGAAAGCTCCTACTATGTTTAAAACCAGTAATTATTTCTACAAGTGGGTGAGTATGTAATGACTGAGTCCATGGAACCCCATATGTGCGCAACTGTAAATAGAAAAAGAAGGATGATCCCAGTAAGTCAAATATTTCTCGCAATTCTTGGAAAGATCTCAAACCATTATTGTTAAAGATATCGGACTGTGGAAATCACATGTTTATTGTTTGTTTGTTAAATATTGGTTTATTTATATGCTATTTTGTTTCCCATTGGGCAAATTTTCCTAGTTGTTGCCACATATAAATGGAATGACTTATAATAGGTTTAAATTGAGTACTACAATATTTATGTGATAAGCCTGAAAAAAGCACATCTTTAAAAGTGTATGGTGAGATAATTTTGTTTTTCTAATTGATCTCTTTAACTTATCTTCAAACCAATTTGACAATGAAAGGATCAGAAATGATACATAATACAAATCAAATCCTTCTTAACGTCCAATCCAATCCAACTGATCCACCGTGTCTCCTAGAAATTACATTTACTAAATGGTTCGGTTCCAACCAATTCAATATCAACCAATTACTTACAAACAACACACTGACGCACTGAACAATGTGCTGCTACTGTCAATCACACAGAAAGGAATATAACCAAACACACAGGTTAAATATAGTTCAACAATTTATCCCAATTGAACTAGATGGGACTGTGACTCATACTTCACCATCAAGAGCTCCAATTTTGCACCACTCACCATTATGCGACAATCTGACAAAAAAAATGCCTGGGAGAGCACAGGAGCATCACTGAAGACGTCACTATACGAAAGTGCAACACGTCAGAAGTTCTAATATGACATTATTGCAAGCCAGAAATGGACGCCACTGCTCAGCACATGAAGTGTTCTTTGCTGAAAGCAACAGTCGCTCAGCTGAGATGGTCTTCTGGTCTTGAATTTAACAGATGACAGCACTCAGACAGCTCTGGGTTTAAGACACAATTCCTCGGATTAGAGGCTGAATCACTTACTGAAGCCTACTTACCTGAAAAACCTTACGGCTCATACAGCCAACAAGTCGCTGCAGTGTATTACAAGATTAAATGCCAGCAAAGCATTAAAACTTTACTTTAAAGGTGACCCTCTTTCCCACATATGACTGTGACTGCAAACCTTTCAAAAAAAGATTTAGCATCACCATTTTATTTATTTTCCATTTATATATTTAATATGTAGAATTTCTGCATTAAAATGTCCATTTTGCAGAGTAGTATACTGATTATCCCAAATGTTTTCAACAGTGTGCAAACCGTAATTTTATTCAGTGAACAGTGAATTTCCTACTTGCCTCAAGCTGCTATAATTTCAGTAACACGAGATGCGTCACAGCGTGAGGGAGGAAGTCGGCAAATGCAACGCAACGTGAATAAATCAGATAGATTTTCGTCAGCAGTGGTGGTTGTTTAAGACAACAATTCCCATGATCACCCGCTACTTTTTTGTTATTGTTTTCATTCCAGAGACGCCCTGGTAGCAGAAATTATATTCTGCACATTTAAATTGAAACTTAAATCTAGAGATATACTGCGTGGCAACCTTCCTTGTGATTAAACAGTGAAAATATTCCCTAGATACAACCAATTAAAATCAGTCTCTCATTCTTGTCTTATTAATATGTGTGACATGACTCCACTGGGGATTAACTGGATAAAGAAATCTTCTGATGCATGTAGGCTTGTCAACTTTTTTGCAATGTTGCAAAGTCTGACTTGTCATCAACCCCCCTCTGAGTGAGCTCCTTTGACATCCTACCACCAATGCATGAACCCTGTCTCTAAGAGAAGTGAATGATACTGGACTGAGAACAGTATCCACCCAAGATGACATGCAGTCAAAAGCTCAAGTGATTAGAATTCTCTTTTCTCTTGTCCTGTTTCAGACTTGCACAATGTCTGACTTTGAGGATTTCAGCAAGCTGGGAGGGCAGGCGAATGTGTCTGAAAGCTACCAGCTGAACCCCACCAGTGTCATTGTGTCGGTGGTCTTCTCCCTCATATTCCTGCTGGGCACCATCGGCAACAGCCTGGTGCTTGCTGTGCTTCTGCGGAGTGGGCAGGTCGGATACAACACCACCAATCTGTTCATACTCAACCTGAGCGTGGCCGACTTCTTCTTCATCATATTCTGCGTCCCTTTCCAAGCCACCATCTACTCTCTGGAGGGCTGGGTGTTTGGCTCCTTCATGTGCAAAGTGGTCCACTTCTTCATCAACCTCACCATGTACGCCAGCAGCTTTACACTTGCTGCCGTCTCTGTTGACAGGTATGGTCATCATTATTAGTCAATACCGAAAAAGACTATATTTGATTGTGAACATAAACACATTATACAACATAGCAATTACTGATTTCCACCTACCTACCAGGTCCTTATGTGACATATGAAATATACAATTTCCAAATCACCTTGAAATAGTTATTGTGAAGCTCTTTGCCTTTCCTGTTGCAAATTACAGTAATGATTATTCCCATTTTTAATTAATCTGTTGATTATTTGTACTTTAAAATACTCAGAGCCTAAGCTGTCATCTTCAGTTTGCTTGTTTTGTTCGACCAACCGTCCAAAACCCAACAGTATTCAGTTGACAATGACATAAACTGAGAAAACCAACAAACATCACATTTGAGAAGGAACCAGACAATGTTTTTACCTGATAAATTACATCCTTAATTATCTGATTGCTGATTATTAATATCTGTGGCTCAACTAATTGATTAATAGACCTTTTGACATGAAATAGCTGGGTACACACAGGTGTTGCCGACGGGGTTGGGAGGGTTACTCTAAAAATGTAATCCAACATTTACCGATGATGCTAATTAAGGTTCAATTCCATTTAGTATAGCAGAGGCTTTCCAGTGAGCCAACATGCACAAAAGCACCCTGACTCTGTTTGACCTGAATGGAACAAAACCTTAATTTGTATCGCTGTATTTCACCTGTGTGGCTAATTGGCTCCTGTGAAAAAGGCTTATTGGTTCGGCAGCAGTGGTGACTCATCTTATGTCTCTTGCTTTGCTTTACTGTATAGGGTTATTGTATTACAAATATACCTGATTTGTTGAATCTATAATGTAATTCGTACCCTCAACTCAAATTCTTTTTCACTTTAAAGGTACAGTGTATAGTTAGAATAGTATAGTATAGTATAGTGGACCAATATATGGTAATTGTTGTGTTTTTGTTACTTTAGAATGAGCCTTTTATATCTGCAGATGCTGCAGTTCCCTGGAGTCTCTATCTTACTTTATTACATAGTGTCACAGTAAGGTACATTTAATTAATCACAAATGTATTTCTGTAAGTCATTAGAGCAACTAGACCTTATAGAGATGCAGAATCTGTTGGCTGATTTAATATCTAATGAGAGAATCACCTCTGTCTGAAAATGATATCCCCCACAAAGTAAGCTCTAAGCCACCATTATAGTTGTTGGGCATCATCATCAGCTCAGTCAATATGGACAGAGTCAGCTGCCCTCTGCAGCAACCACCCTCGGCTCACACTGGTTGTGTTTACACATTAGAGGATTCAATAGATTTTTCAGCCTGCCAGCCAGACGTTTCCTGCTCCGCCTGGAAAAGAGCAGGAACATCTGAGCTGGGAGGTTAATGAATTTCTGTTTTCCTCTTCAGTTCCTGTGTAACAAGTGAAAAAAGCAGCAGCAGCTTATAGTTACACTTTAGACCAGGAATCCCCAGCAGGAATTAAATCACAGTTCAGCCTGAATGAGCAGCAGCACACACACACACACACTCGTACAGTCTTTCAATCGAAAGTCTCTGTTGCTGCAGTGTGCCACCCACACATTTACGCTTACTGTGATTTTATGCCAGAGAAATATCCAATGTATAAAACAAAACAATTTGGCATTGTTGCTTCTGATCAAGGAGCTGCACTTGTGATCTTGTAATATGTAACATAAGATAAGGCAGAGTTATTCATGTATATCATGTATATTTGTTGAGGTTGCAGTTACACACACATATATAGGAGTTAATGTCTTGGGACAGTCCAATGAGATCAAGGTCAATTGATCACATTCTTTGTATTTTATTCAAAATATGTTTACCAGACTGCTCTTATACAGTTTTATACATTGGTTTCTAATTTAGAATTGGAACATAAAACCCCAAAATAAAGAGCATCGAGTCAAACAACAGTACATTAACACATGCTTTTCTTTTTTCATTATATTAATCTATTTCAGCCAAGCACACACAGTAATGTCTGAGTGTTTGCTGTTGTCTAAGCCACTGAGCCTCCATATGTGGCAAGTAGGTTCAAAGCATGCTTTATTTCCCTTTGATGTACAACATAAGTGTCTTAAGCCCCATTTCAGTGAGGTTTCAAAAACGAGAGAGGCTGCTTCTGCTGATTCTGGAGAGCCAGGTGAAGTGTCCTTAAAATGTGGATAGGGAGGACATGGATCTGGGGCTTTACCCACAATCCCTGCCTTGGGCAAAAGACGCTGCAAAGGAGTTAGCTAATAAAGCAGCGTGTTGAATATGGTGTTCAAATACAAACAAACCGAGTAACAAGGAGGCAATATCTTCAACAATAACACGTGAGAATCAGTGTGGTGTCAGATTTTTGAAAGAGGTTGTTAAGCATAAAAACATCAGGCTAACGCTAACCTTTTTTTCATAATACCACGTAATGCCAGATGGGATTTGTGCCTTTATCGCCTACCTGCTCAGCAACATCAAAAGCACAGCACAAGACACAGTCATGTTCCTCGCTATTGTCTTGGTTTAACCATGCAATGCCTGCAGGACCAGATCCTGTTAAAATCTTACAAAACCTTTCCGTGGATATCGCAGCCAGTTTGCACATTTCCATGAGGTGTTTTTATTCAATAAATCACAGCTGCAACGGCTGTAGTGTGAAAAATATCATCCAACACGGAAGCCGCAGTGTTAGCCACGACTACCTGTTTGCATGGAAGGAGGACATTATATTGGGTTGAAAGAAATGTATTATGGGTTTTAAAATGGCCCAGTAATTTAATGAAAGCCTAAGATGAGGAACACAAAAAAATCTGAAGTGGTGTGTGGGTGGTGGCCGAGCGGCACAAGGAAGAAAACAAAACAAGTTAGGTGCAGTCACACTGCCAGATAGCTGACGGAACTATCTGGAGATGAATGGCAGGAGAGCTGGGGGTTCTCGAACTGACCGCTGATGAATTTATTGTGACCAGGTGTGGGGATCAGCCACAGCCTTGCCCACAACACACCCACTCACACACACACACACACACACACACACACACAAGGAGGAATATGGAGAACACAGCGACTTGAGGATTTGGAGCAATTTTGGCGGCCATCTCTCTCTCTCCATCAGCACAGACTGAACAATAGCACTCACTGGCAAATCCCTTTATAGTTATAATATTTACTATGTGAATACAAATTTTATTTCAGTTTAGATTTTAAAATGAAGCCTTCACTTTGTTCTTGTGAGGAAAATGGCATAAGCATTTACTTTTCACTTTACTGTATATCTTTCCTACTAAATCCTACAATCCCAACCTCTCAAAATACTACTACTAATAATAATAATAATAATATTAATTATAATAATAATAAAAATAAAACAAACTAAATAGATTAACAAGCAACAATAAGATAAATTGGCTTAGGGAGTATCTTAAAGTATATATCTTTTTATTATTTCTCTTGTAGTCTATAATTATCATACTGCACCGACTGAGCATGTGCACTAATTCTTAAGTTCATGTGCTTTTGCTCACATGTGAATATGTTATTTTTTCTCTTTGTAGGTATCTGGCCATTCGTTACCCACTGCGCTCTAGAGAGTTACGAACCCCGTGTAACGCAGTGGTTGCCATGGTGATCATCTGGGGCCTTTCTCTGGTCTTTGCTGGTCCTTATCTCAGCTACTACGACCTGATCGATTACGCCAACAGTACTATGTGCATCCCCGGCTGGGAGGAGCAGAACCGGAAGGTGTTGGACACGTGCACCTTTCTGTTCGGCTACGTCATCCCCGTGCTGATTGTGAGCCTCTCGTACACTCGAACCATCAAGTACCTGTGGACGGCCGTCGACCCTCTGGACGGCATGTCGGAATCCAAGAGGGCCAAACGCAAAGTCACTAAAATGATCATCATCGTCACTGTGCTTTTCTGCATATGCTGGCTTCCGTACCATGTGGTGATCTTGTGCTACCTGTACGGAGACTTCCCTTTCAATCAGACCACGTATGCCTTCAGGCTTCTCTCTCACTGCATGGCCTATGCCAACTCCTGTGTCAACCCCATCGTGTACGCTCTGGTGTCCAAGCACTTTCGCAAAGGCTTCAAGAAAGTGTTCAGCTGCATCCTCAGTAAAAATGGGAGAAATAAGGTCCATGTGGTTCATGTAGCCAACACTGTGCCTGGGTTTGAAGCAGGCTCCACAGAGGTGTCACAGATGAATGAGGAGAACATACGACAGAATGAATGTGAAATGATTAACAGGCCGATCGCAGAGCCACGAGAAGCCACAGTGACACTGAATTTACCCTTTCAGCGGCAGACTTGACAAGTGATTCAGCTCTGCTGAGTACAGATTGCCTTACGTTAAAGACATTGTAGCTAATATTTATAAGGAACGTAAACCTTTCATCACTTTTAGCGGCAAACAGAAGAGGAGATAAAAGGATTCATGCACAAACATATTTACACAGATAAATACAGAGTATTAAGGTGTATTCAGTCAGTCTACAACCAAAAATGTGTTTGTATTTTTGTCACACACTACGTTCCATTATGTTCCACTAAGAAATACACAATCAGTGAATACAAGGTTTGTTATTTACTAAAAGTAAAAAAATTCTCAGTATTTCCTGCTTTCGCCAATTGCCTTAACCATGGCTTGCACTTTGGTATTTATTTAAGTTCCTTTTAGTGTTTAAGAATCTACATTAGTCCAGCACTTGTAAGAGCAGCACAGAATGTGTCTCATTACGTTACCACATGTTTCATCTTTTGAAATGGTCCAAAAGATGTCAAAGGTTGGTGACTGTGGGGGGAATGTCATTGGCTTCACTTTGGTTTGGTCATTGGTTTGATGCAGGTCTACAATCACTATCCTGCTCATCTAGTCCACCCTGTGCAAGTCTCCGACAAGCCAGTCATCAGTATTTCCAACACCATGTTCAGGTTTTATGTTGTACTTTTTATCATCTTTTCCTCACATACATAAGCTCAACTGCAGCTGTGATCTGATTCAACCATTTGGACTAGTTTGTAAAGTGCTGGTCTAACTGAAGCAGGACATTATTTGATCTGTATCTTTTGTATCTTGCATGCAGATGCTGTTCTGTCTTGTCAAGATATTGGTTATGACTGGTATATTTGACTTATATATGTTATAAACATAAAAGAATGTGTGCAAACATGATGTTTAGTTATATTTCAATTTCATACGAGCATTTAAAATCAAAATAATTGGGTGTAAGATGCCAGAAGGTATACATTGAGTTAAATAGGAAGTTTATCAGTATTTGATACATATTAAAAACAAACAGTTCTTGGTAGAATACTGAGGTGTTTTTGGACCCCAGTATACAACATTGTCTTGCTTTACTTGTATTTTACAATGATTGTATTCATGGCATGTTTCTCTTTGGTGTAAAATATTATATGTTTAAATTAATATGTTTATCAATGAGTGCACTTGAGCATCTAAGAGTTGTGTATTTTAAAAGGTGTGTATTTTGTGTATTTAAAAATTCTTAATGCTGTGAAATGATTAAGATCATGTACATGGTTTTGTTTAGTTTCTTTCTCCAAATGAAAAGCAGATCCTCAATATTTCTCTCTCTCTGTAAGCTTGGGTCCTACCTCAGAGCTGTAAAAAGAAAACATTTCTCCCCTCTTAGTTGTGTTCTGTTCAAATTGTGTAGATGCAATTTTCCTCTTCAGAGAATAATTTCCTAACAGAACATCCTCCTTTGCACTGACCAATTTTTGTCCAGTGTGTCTTGTGTGATTTTTTCCCTTTACATCTACAGTATATATTCGTGTCTCTCGCTTTTTTTCCGTTTCATCATGTTGAGTTTTCAAATGTAACAGCCTGCAGATTTTAAGATATATATATATATATTTAAATAGATATTTATCAAAATGTTTTGAACACAATGTTCTTGAATAAATAAAATATTTTCTGCTGTGAGACTAGTGAATCTTTCATTCATTTAAAAATGTGCATAAATGTGAAGTGGGTCAGAAGAAATGAAACAAATACTACCTATCCATCTATATATCCAATGTATATGCAGGTTTATGGCTTGGACTCTGAAATAGGGGAAATATGTTAAATGTTTAAAAATATTTTATTTATAAATCATTTTCCCTTCACCTGCTAGCGAGGTAGAGGCAGAAATCTGCCCAGTACTGGACAAATAAAACCAAAACAATGTCCATGGCTAAAAGTCAGATGTATTTATTTATTTCAGTGAACCAACCCTTCAAGCATATATCCATGCGTTGATGATTATCTGCTGCTTACCAACAGTATATAACATTTCAGTTGAAGAGACTTTTTGCTCCAAGCAATGATTTACTATGCTCAAGCAATCTCTAGAGCTGCTGCTTCATTTCCCTGGGTTTACATTTTTCAGTTCACCATTCTCCCAGCAACGGTTGGTGGTGTTTTGCTTGGGGAATGATCAAACTGCCCACACATAGAAGATTCTACAAAATAGGTGGCGTATCTAGTGTGATTTTAGCGGGAACTTTACTCCTGACACTCCCAGGAATATTTGCCGTGCTGAGCTTGAGGCTTGCAGGGAGTGACGAGGTCAGAGCATAGACGCCAAATATCTACTCTGTACGGAAAAGTCAGAAGACCAGTCTATTTCTGCTCCAGGAAGACAGTAAATATCAGTAAATCTCAATTTGCTTCTTATCTGCTGCCTTAGGCTGTTCACTTCTACTGCAGGAGTAAGAGATGATATTAACGAGCACAGCACAACAGTGCAGATCCCCCAGAGATCACTGCTTCTCTGGGAGGTGAGAGCAGAACCACAGGCAGTACAGACCATGCTGTACTCAAAAGAAGACATTAATAAATAAATTAAGCTATTGTTGTCATAAAAGAAGCAACCTCTAATGGCGTTACGTAAAATGTTCAAACTTTTCAACTAAGTTCTTGTTTATATATTGAATTTCTGTCCGCACAGGAGGGCTGGAAAAAGATCGATAAAATGATCAATAACCTGTGATGTTGTGCAGACAAACGGACAATAACCATGGTACATACACAAGGTTTGGTTGAAGACAATGTACTGAATGACCTGAGAGATCTGACAGGTTTATAAGTGATAAGCACATCAGAGTTGTTGGTTGTAACAATAAAGACATCTATTATAAGCTAGCTGCCTTACAGTCCTTAATGGAGCCCAGAGACACCGCACTAATCCATTGATCCACTACAAATAAGAAGCTGCACCTCAAACAAGTGTTATTCATTAGTGAGATAAACTAGAGGGTGTTTTGGGGACAGCGTGAGTTCATGTCTTTCACACATTGCCTTCATTGTGTCCACAGGTCTGTGGAATCTGGAGTGGACCACTGGAATAATTATACTGTTTTAGTAGTTAATGAAGTCTGATGATTAGTCATAGGGTTTTTCAATTGCTTAAGCACATTTTCTGAAACACTGTTGCAGTTCTCAAAACATTAAGAGCATTCACCATGTCATTTTATGAGCAGCCTCTTTTGGTGCTACTGAGAACAAAGTGTCATTTCCGTTGGATTTAATATGTGCGAAAACATTTAAAAAGCATCCCAAGCAGCCAAGCATCAACTCTTTAGACTTGCCTTTGATTAGATTTTACTTATTTATTTTTATCCCTATTATTTTATTAATTATTTCTACATTTTATCTCTATTGTATGGCTTTCATTTGTCTTTTATTGTGAAACACTTCTGTAAAGGTGCTATATCACTACATTTTACCTTTACTTACTCCAGCTAGTAACATAGTGTTAAAGAGAAGAGGTCTTGGTGAGTAACCATATTACATACAAAGCACCTCATCGCAAAATTTAAGTAAACAACAAAAATAAAAAAATAAAAAATAAACAATAAAATAGTGGTGAATCAAAACATATCTGACAGTAAGCAGAAATCCTATCTTGGGGTTTTGTGATACAGCAGGTGTTTTTTTCTTGTGATCATGAAATGACATTTTATTTTACGTATTCGATTGTAATTACTCTGTGATTATGGCCACTCCGGCCTTCCGTACTTCAGACAGCGGATGACATAAAGAGACGCATTGACCCGCACCAACATCATCTCCATTATCAGAGAAGTTAGATGTACCAGAGGGAACAAAGCTTTTATCAAAACACACATCTTACACAGATAGCTGAACGTGTATGTACAAAGTGGGTTTTAGAGTAGATGTTCTTTTTGCGATGTTAATGCCCTATGTTATGTAGCTGCGGAAATTAGGCCTGTTCCATTGGAAGAGATTGTGGGAAATTTTTTACTTACGTCACTGATAACCTTGACAGGGTCTGGTGTCGGCGCTATGATTGCTCTGAAAAGCATTCAATTACTCTTAGATGTTGTCATATGCATATTGTTTTAATTAAGGTTTGCCTATACTCAGTCTATAAAAGCATTTGTTTGACAAGTAGGAGTTTTGCAGATGCTGCTTTAAGGTCAGACAATGATGCCATTCAAACACAAGCAATCAGTGGCTCAAAGGGAGAGACTTCAGTTTTTATTTTTAAAAACAATTCTACCTCCAAGATAGGATTCTACCTCAAAGGGAAATTAGGTTTCTATGTTTGGTTACATTCGGCTGATTATTCTACCCAATGTGTTAATGACATCTGCATTTAGACAAAGACAAAGACAAGGAAAATCTAATAATCTATAACTCACTGGGATAATAGGAATAACCTTGGAGGACGTAATTCAGGGAATGATCACATCTCTCCAAGATGCAATTGGAGCTGTAGATGGACATGGCTGGTTTAAAGGACAGTAGCCAGTATTGGATGTAGAATTGGGGGAAGCGGGACCTCTTCTACGAGGTTGAACTGCCATGTTTCTGTAGTAGCTCAGAACGGACAAACCAAACACTGGCTCCAGACAGGGCCTTTTGCGAATTTCACAGCCACTGCAGTTTCTCCTCCTCTCTTACGGTAGGGTGAACGCGAGGGCATTATAATCAGCAACTACACCGCTCGATGCCACTAAATCCTACACTCTGGACCTTTAAAGGGTAATTTTCGTTTGCTAAGAGATGATTTTTTTTATCAGAAGTTAATCAAATAGTCATATTATAAAAGAATTTCAGATCTGGGTGTAATACTGATGACTATAGTATCAGTATTTTTGAACACAATTATGGTTATAATATAATATCTGATGAAATAATTGACCATGAGAGTTAAGTACCTACTATTAAGTACTTAAAACGCTTAGTGAGAATCAGTATCTGACATTTTCTGTTTGCTTTTTTTGATGACACAACACACATTTCATTAGAGCAGTGATAAAGAAACCAACCACTTTAGGTGTGTGTTTACTGTAGGCAATTTGACAAGCTAAAATCACTATCATCATCATAATTATGTGTAGATTTAACAGGTGATTTAATGGCGAGCTCATCTTGACATTTTGCGCAGTGTACTGTGTATGGAATATGCGGAGTGCTCTGGGTGACACTTTAAACATTTTCTACATCATTCGAAAAACTCAAAAATAATGTGAATATCTGATCTTACATCTATGTGTAGTTGTGGACCTGCCTTCTTTGTCATATTGTATAAAACTAGTTTATACATTACAAACCAAAAGGCACACCTTTCCTTATATCCAACCTGCTGCTTCACAACGAATGGTGTGACAATGTGTTACTGAGAGATCTCATCAACAAGAATATTAAGAAACAACAGGTAGCAGGATGAAGTCATACAGTGTCATTTAGAGGCTGTACGGCTGTTTACTACAAACTGTAAAGACATGAGCACATAAAGATTTCTAATTTAGCTTAAAAATATCTAATTAAACATCTAATCAAGAGTTATGTCTTTGATTTACATCCAAAGGGTGTTTTAATGCATTGACTAAACAGCATGTTCATATCACCCACAGGTCATTTTTTATTTTCTAATCTGAGCCGGCTGATTAATCATTAGTCCAATATGAGCCTGTGGGTTGAAAACTCAACTAACACATTGTGTCGGCAGCAGCAGTGTAGCCTTAATTGCTCCAAAAAAATCCTTTTCATTTAAACAGCTCTCCCGCGTGGCGTTGATTAGCTTGTAAGAGTCAAGGTAAAAGCAGCATTCCTTGTATTCTGTGCAGGAAGTTGCATAATCATTATTTATTCCAAATCAATACGTTAACAGCCAGACAAAGAGAGAGCAGCATTTGTGGTGCTCTATTCCTCTAATCCATTTAGATATGAAGTCAGTGCAGGTTATTATTTATTTCAAGAGGAAAACCTATTCAGTGCTGTTTTACATTCAGCATAGACACAATTCAATCTCCGCATATCATCCGAAACGCTTGTCCAAACAGTTTTGGTGGAAGAATCTGTGAGATAAACACAATATATGAAACATTACCAGTAAACCAGTTCCTACTCTGTTTTTTATACTGTTTTTCCTCTATCCACTTTGCTGCTGCAACATTGGAATGTCCCCATTGTGGGACAAATAAAGGAATATCTTCTTATCTTAAAGTAAGAGTGCCCTCTTCAGACTGTAACACAACACTGCAGTTCTGTTTAACTATAAAACAAAACTGACCTTGCACACATGTAGCATTATGTGACTTTAACATGTCAGGGCACCTTTTAAATTATCATCTACACAAACAACTTTTTTTTATTAGATACAAAGACAAGTTATCTGACACATGTTCAATGCTCTTGGGTGTGCTGGCAATGTGCAACACCACTAAAGGTCCTTTAACTTATGTTTGTGTGCAAAGGATGATGAATTATACTCAGAACACAAGAGCTGGTTTATTGCATGTATTTATTGTCCAGGTACCTTTAAATGGTAACCATGCTAGTTGGTGAACAGAAACAGGTCCAGGGTACTAAATGTGCTGGGCTGCTGGTTTATGACAATTTCAGTTGTACATATTTACATAGACAAGGTGGAATAGTGACAAACATTAAAAAAAAAAAAAAAAAAACCTAAACAAAAAATACCAAGCAAGTCCCTGGTATTTATGTCCCCACATCTGTCTGGAAGTCACACTGCAGACATCATTAGCATAGTAATAAAGGCACTTACTATATACATTTCATTGAGCTTAAATAAGGGATGTTTAATTTGAGGGCTTTCACAGTAAAAATCATAACAGATTTGATACTCTATATTTCAAAAGAAATAAACAATGAAAATCAAGATAACACATATCGTATTTAACTTGATCATGAACTCAACATGTATAATTTAACATACAAAGGATCACCGGAGGCAAATACACTAAATATATTTAAGTTAATCTGATTTAAGTTAGGAGACTAAAAAAAAGGCAGCACAAAAACAAAACACAACAGCATCTCCAAACGGAGATATTCCTTACACTGAGTTTTTATGCAACGACACATATGATTACAGCACTCAGGTTTCAAGGTCCACTCGTCTTTCTGCCCATTATTCCATAACAAAAGAAAGGCTTTTATTATAGCACATTCCTCACTGTGGACCCCAGCACAATGATGAGGTAAAGGAAACAAGGTGGCCTTGAATTTTAGTGTCACAGCTTGTCCAGCTGAGTGCCTTGATTTTTTGTTTCAGTTTGTGCTATTCCAGTGCAAAAGCGTCGCTAACGTTGCCAAACAGAGGGAAATATCAATCGGCTGAGACATTCTTTCACTGTAGCAATAATATCACAATCTAAACACCCTGCGAGCTTCGTGAAGTGTTCCATCCAAATGTCTGATGTACCAGAAAACTGCAATCGTATACGCTAAAATAACCATTCTGACATATAACACGGATAATAAGAATAGGAGGAATATCAATGTGAAAGGGTAGTTCAAGAGCATGTTTACAGTACCTACCATCTTCTTTTTCTCTTTGGTGTAACAGGATCTATCCAAAGTAGATCATTTGCACTAAACAATTCGTTCCTGCTAGGCACGAGATGTAGCTGTGATAAGCTAGAGAAGGCTACAGATTAGATATCGGGTCTTAGCGCAGCCCCTTCCTAACTGATCGATCAACTAAGCAGTGATTCAAAGTTTAAGACGGTCTTGGGGATCACAGAAATGGACATTTATGGACGTCGAACACTCCTCTACACCAACTTAAAAAGATCCAGCACTTACAGTATGTTTAAATATGCCTTTATGTGATATTCACTGCACAATGCTGTTGATAGTATTCTGATGACATTCACTGGCTTTCTCATTCAAATGCTGTGATATGACCTCAGATGACCAGGTTCATGGGCCTCTCTGCACTGCGGGCATGAACTCGAGTGTGCAGATCTACAGGTGGAGAAACTGATCTGTTGTTTCATTAACAACACTAACCTCTAATGCTGAAGGCAGCACTTGACTTTAAAAAATGACGGTGTAATTTAGTGTTAAACTGGAAATAATTGGAAAACTGGCCTCCCAAGAGTAATTGTTATCCAAATATCATTGGCAGGGACTATTTAAAAATTAAAAAAAAAAAAGGTCAAATTACTCATCCACAATCAGGATTAATCATCAACATAACAAACCTTTATAGAAGTGCCACTGACTTCAACCCAAATAAAATTTCAGCCTGATTAATAGAATTATGAGACATTTATTCAAACAGGCTTTTAACAGACTGTTCTTATATGTAGCCTCTTATCATTTCAGACATTTTTCTAATGTTACTTATTTACTGAGTTAATTAATATGAATGCCTAATATCGTTTTCGGATTAGGGAAACAAAATTATAGATCAACTTGCATAGATATTCACCTCACAATTTCCAATCATATCTTTTTGTTTTTACAGTATTATTGCACCTACTGTGTTATTCCAAGGCAATTTTCTTCAAACTTTAACTGGGTTGAGTTAAAAACAATGCAGTAGAAGACTGTACATTAACATAGCCATCAGCTCCATTATATGGATTACACACCAAATGACCAGCAAAATAAAATAACCTGTACAATATGCAGTACTGCAACCCAATAAAATAGCTCTGCAATAAATAATAACTTAATATGTTCAATTTATGTTGAGACTGTGTCAGAGAGGAACCGCACAATACCTTTTATGGTAACTTTTCAAGGCTGAATTGTGGTTTACTGGATTGCATTAGTGTTTCTTATATGTTGTATTTTAAATCCATTACGACAACACACAGCTTTAGTCTAAAAGGTTATCATAAATGATGACAATCTTCTTAAAGAGTACTATTGTAAGACACTGGGCTGTTGTACTGGATTGCAGTAGACTGTACAGGGGTTTCCATCTTTCTGGTCACTAATATATGGTGCTCTTTCGTGTTGCAGTCTATGTTAGGACATAGTCAGTGGTATATTATACAATGAAAGTGCAGCCTGACTGAATGCCACAAAATAAAGTACTGGTGAGTAAAGTATTAAAAGCACTAAGACGAGCACAAACATTTGAGTCCAGAGGGCTCTTACAATGAATGAGGAACAACCAAAAGCCCTATTAAGTATTTTGATCGTCTTCAACAGGGGCAACACTCCTGCTTCAATAGGAGTGAAAGTGAGCATCTTAAATATTTAAATAGATATAAAATTTTGTTATCTTTTAACACAAACTGTACACATCTTGTACCAATACATATAAAAATTACAAGTGTGGTTACTTTAGAAAGGACACCCTCTGATACATCATATCAAAAATATGTAGCTTTAGTAGCACTTTTGTTCTTCATTTATCTAGTAAATTTTACAATGCTACATTACACTCCAAAGAAGTGAATGAGGTCTTTTTCTTTCTTCTAGTCCAACGTTACTGCAGTGGTGCTATCGAGCCTCAAAAGTCACAAGTCATCTGCTGTGACCACTGCTTTGCTCTTCAACTCTTAAATCCACTTCTACTATATTGGCTTTCTTCTCTCTCCTTCGGTCTCAACCCTGAAACACTTCCCCTTCGCCATCCAATCGCTCTTTCGGGCCTATTACGTGCTGGCTTTTCGGCTCCTTCCTCTTCAACATGCACACTTCAATCAATTTTTTCGACTTTCCCGATAATCTTCTCCTCAAAAATGGGCAAGATAGCGTCATCTTCACGTACCTCTTCAAACACCACCCCACAGTCAAACTCGTCGCTTACCTTCTTGAAATAATACCTAAAAAAGGGAGGGAAAAAAGTTAACGTCTGCAGGTTAAAAACTGTGACCTTTACCCAAATTGTGCCCAGCAGGCAACATCTTGATTTAATAATCACTTAGCACCCTTATCAGGCAAATGGGTATATAATTCTTAATCAGTAATAACAGACACAGCTGGAACTACAGACCCACCAACAATTCTGTGTGATTTTCAAAAGGTATTTGAAGGTTTTAAAAAAAAGCCAAATCTATAATAGCTTCCACACATTTTATGGAACTGGTTTGGATGAACTATAAACCCTCCCTGACAACTACACTCCAAATGATGCTATATTTGGGTGTCTCAAAGCAAGTCGTGTTGTAGATAATGCAATCTTAATGCAATCCTTCTTGCTGATAATTAAAGCATAAATTCTGAGCTTAGCTGTGTTACATCTCTTGAACTATGCGTGGAAAGCAAATAGCAGCATCAATCTCACCTGTAATTTCCTTTCTTTGTTAGCAGTTCTTTGAACTGGCCCAGTGTGACGACCCTCCCTTTGACAGACGTCCTGTACGGTATCAGTTCCTCACAGAAGTAATACGCCACAGTAGTGTTTTCACATGGCTGCTTTTTAGTGGCTTTATGTCTGCAGATGGAAAAGACAAAAAACTATTTAGAAACCTTGAAGCTTTTCCATTATGAACATGCTCATATGGACTAGAGTCTGCTAAGGCTAAGGGGGATGACAGTCACAAACATGCTCATATTCATAAGCAACTGAATAACTGGGGAAACAAGGACCATAATGTAAAAAATAAAATAAAAAAAGATGAAAGAATGAAATGACCAAGTCAAACACATGAAATGAACAGGGATGTTGAAGTGTCTAGTAAGAGTAAGTCCTGCAGTTTGTGGATGAGGAACCTAGGATCAGTCGAGGGCTGATGTCATTCTATACTTTGCATTTTAAAAGGTAGAACTCTCTAATCAATATGTGCAATTACAGGGAGCGAGTGAAGAGAGAAACAATGTGGGCCAACATCCTCTTGTTTTCTGGTTCACATGCTGACTGACTACTAAGTTTCGAGCAAGATGGAAATGTCAGTTTCACATTAGACCAGACGAGTGATCATAAAGCCTTTCTTTCTATAATCGGTTCTGGATGAAACGACGCTGGGGTTATCTAAGGATAGCTTATGTAGATAGAAACAAAAACAACATGGTAAACAAAGAAAATGACATGCACTGTCTCATCAATATGTATATGTGCAAAGTACACAAATGAACTGAAATGGAGCTAGAAAACAAAACAGATTTTGCTGTTTTCTATTTATACCAGATACAGAAATGACAGCGAGGATCTCAAAACCTCAGCAAATACTGGTAAACTCATAAATGTCTGCAGTATTTTGGGTAAACTTAACCTTTAAGATGCTTTCAGCTGGCCATAGCTCTGCTGATGAACACTGATTATCAGTCAGCTCATCAGCTGTTTATGTAACTGAGTGTATACTAGTATTCATGACTTCCACTGAGTGGGAGAGGCCCTGAGATGATGATCTTACCAGCAGCCTTTGGGTGTGCCATACTTGACATAATGTTTATCCTTAGTGATGTCAAATGTGTTTAGCCAGCCATACATCTTTTCTACCAACTTCAACAAGCACATAACTGTATCGGTTGTCCCTGGAATGTCATGGAATTTCAGCAACTTTACTGGGTATAAAACAGGCTAGTCTGAGATCAAGTCACTACAAGCCTTAGATATAAATGTATTGTAACAGTAGTGTAGTAGTTAACACAATCTCTTAAGGCCAATATTTTTAAGAGCAATATTCGGTGCAGATTCTCTAATTTGGCATGGGCCAATATTCATGACAGGATATTCTGATAGAAAAAGCTCATGGAGACAAATAAGGTACTTTAAAAACCATCCCTTACCGCCCAATTGCTGCAATTTACGTCAAAAATAGCACTCCTTATCCGAATCATAACTCTAAAATAATCTGCACACGCATATGCATAACACACATATTTTTAGATTCAGTGCGACTTGCACTACCCCAGAACAGAATGTCCATAAATCACTCCGTATAACTCCAGAACTCAAGTGCTCTTGAGTAGTAAAGTAATCCAGTGATAGTTGCCTGTACATCATGAATGGCTAATGGATAATTCTGCATACTTTTAATGGTGCCAATTTTCCAAAATGTGACCAAATACAGTATTTACTGGTGTTTTCTTTAGATTTTGGTGCTTTATACTTATATCTTATAATCCTCTCTCTTTCTTTGTGAAAGTGAACACTATGTTCTTTCAAAACAAACATTTTTAATTTTACCAAATTCAAATCTTTCAGCTAACCTTGTGACATTTCCAAGCTTGGACATTAGAGGTAATGTAACCTTCAATCGGTTGTGATCCAAGTACACACCACGTCCTGGATCCCAGTCCTCACAGGTCTGACTGGAGGCTTCACCCTCTGGCTGTAACACGTAATCTGCCTTTCATCTGCCTCTAACACTGTTCCCCTATTCCCCTCCATCTGTTAAGTACCCTTCTGAGAGGACAGTCAAACATCAAACAGAAACATGTTTCTGACAAAACATCAAAAAGCCAACCCTCTCTCTAATACTTCTGCCTGCACTGGAACACAGAAAACATACACTTCTACTTCCTCTGTGAAGCTCTTTCTGGAAATCCTCATTACTTATGGCACGATGGAGAAAGAACACATTGCATACCATGGACACTGAAAATAGTCTTTTCTCACTGGTTGCCAGGTGTCCGTTAACCCCGAAAAAGGAGTCCGAAAATAATGGACTACTTGCTGGGGAAAATGCCACCCGCTTAACATTAAGCCATTCTTTGCCTCCATTTTGTCTATTATTATTTATTTTTTAGAGATTTTATTGTTGTTTGCTGTTGTTTACTAAATACAGGCTACCTCCACAGGCTTAACATGCAGTGTAACAGCTACCATCTAATGAGGAGTATGGGGATGCTGATTGAGTCTTTCCCCCATATGAATGAAAACTAGACAAGATACCACATTAAAACAAATTGGGGGACAGAGTGTGGGACGCCACATAAGGACATTGCAAATACAGTACACAGAGGAGAGAATTAGGCAAAGAAATTGCTCATGACTGATGTCTAAATGTTTCTTTTAGTAGCGCTACAAACACACACAGTCCTGGGTAACTAAGCTGTCAGTAATGAGAATGGGAAGTGAAGTGGGTTTGCCCTGACCTATGGGGATATTTGGAGATAGTGGGAAGAGTTACTGGTAGGACACAGTAGACATACTCGGGCTCGGAGAGCTCGCTGTCAGAAACGGCAGGCACCACGTTGAGTGGAGGGAACAGTGCAGGCCTGACTGCGGTGCGACCCCTCTGGATCACCTCCATCACATACCTGAGGGACCGAACAACCCCAGTAGTTAGACACAGACTGGCCCTAAGGAGCACACAGGCTAGAGAACAAAAGAGTAACTGTTTCATTTTGACTAAAGAAAAAGAATAAATCCGGCTTCCTCTGTGGATCAAGTTACATAGATTCTGTTGAAAAATGGCACTGATTAACTGGACACCGTAGAAATGGGACATTACCACTTACCTTTGCTTGGGTTGTAAAGTTCCAGACTTAAGCTTCTCCTCCTCAAGCCGCCGGCGCACCTCTTCCAGCTGAATAAGGGGGCTGGGAGCTGGGTTGGGGGGCATAGTGGGGTCCTGTATGAAAGGGTGAGATGGCTGCACATTGTTCCGCAGTTGGGTGCTGACGCACGGGTGCACTGACCCCGATCGCTCCGCCGAGCTGAGACGGGATCCCTCATGTCCCATGGCCCTCTTAGACCCAGTGGTACTGCTAAAATGTAAAATCATGACAGAGCAAGAGTATTCAAAAGTTTACGTTAAGTTTAAGTTTTCTTACTCTAACAGTACAAGATCATTTTCTCATGCAGCTGTGTAGTAAAGATAAGTGTTTGAGCTTGCAAGATCATACAAAAATTCATCTCGTCAGGCTTCAAGCTATGTGCTTGTACCCCAACCACTTTTGATAACAACTGACAGCTATGGCATGAGTTATGGGTGTGGTTTAATGCTAGGTGTGTCTGACAAAGTGTGTGAGAAGTGACTGCTCAAAAACAAGAACCAGACCAAGAACAAAACACAACACAGATGGGGCTGGAGTGCATTTCAGTGCACAGGATATTCTTTAACAGTAAAGATTAAAAAAAAATTATGCTTGCACACATCACTGACCCATATGGGCTCCTCTTATGTTGAACCATTTCTTTCTGTCCTTCCATCAGCCACAAAAGGATCTTCTGGTTTTTCTCTATCTCCTCCGCAGGCCCTGGCATGTCATAAGGCCGCACTTCGTCACCTTTCTTGAACGCTCTCTTACATTGGGTGCCACCTTTGCTACTGTATAATGGTAGAAAACAACTGGTGAGTAGAAAAGCAAAAAGTATTTTGGGTGAAATATTGAGAAAAAGTAAACTACTGCTTGAGCGTGTTGCGTACCTATACCCTGTATGCTCCACAGGGTGGGATCCCATGCCATCTGCATAGCTGCGAGACTTTGATCCATAATGACTCGTCTCCATGTTCCAGGGAAAGTTGCCATGAACACGCATGGCTGCCTCAGCCTCCACCTGCTCTTTTGGCTTCCCAACGTTTGTGTGGTGGATGTGGTGCACGTGTTTGTGGTGGTACAGGTGGCTGCTCTCTCCCTTGACACCATGCCTCGATGGATGTCTACCCTGGCTCGAGGACACCACAGCTCCAAGTCCCATCCCTTTGCCTCCTGGGAAACAGTCTGGTGAGCGTGACTTGGGAGAGTGACGGCCTGTACCTGGTGACTGGCACCCGGGAGTCTTCATGACCCGCTGGACGTGGTCGTCTAGGATGCTCTCAGGGTTCTCTTCATGAGCGTCTCTCATTAAAGGACCGCTGTAGGTGATGTCAGCATAGCGGGGGTTGTAGTTCTGTGGATAAGCACCAGGGGGGACCCTGTGACTGGGTAATGCTGTGGCTATAGACATGACTTCATCCCCTTCCTCTTCCTTTAGAACAAAGAAACACACACAAAACAAAACATAATTTAGAGAAAGAACCTGGAATAAATATCTGGAATATAAATTAAGGTTATAGGGATAGGTTGTGAATATCTGAGGCATATAACATCAAACACTCGTAAATCATATAAGCCATATAAAATATATCTATGTGCATTTTATTCTTTTAACAGCTTATTTCTAAACACATCTGACACAAGAGAGGATTTTTTTCCATAAGATTGCATAGTGTTTACTTATTTCAACCTGCAGATGGCAGATTTCCACCATATGCTACATGTGTCTTCTCATTCTTACTGCAGAGGTGGAGACACACCAAGGATCACTGAGTATCATATTAGGGGGGTACTCTGCATGCACACAGCACATTTGTGTTGTTTCATGTAATGTGCAGCCGACAGAGTTTCAGCTCTGAGATAAAATAACGCTCTGACAGAATGTGCCCCAGGGGGAATGATGGGGTGTGGTACTGCAGGCATTCATAATAGGTTTTGATAAACAAGCAGGGAGCAAGTGTAAGATATACAGTGATAAAATAAACACAGCAGTGGATAAAAGAAATGTAGTCATCTAAAACTTGATGATGGTCAAGTTGTAACACCATAATTGCTACAGAAATTACGAATAAATGAAATTCTTAACCCAATATTTTCAGCTGCACAGCTGACCAGTAGCTTGTTGTATGACCAAATATTTCAGTTTGAATTTTTTAAAAGAAACATCATCAGAAATAGTTTTCAATGCAGCTGGTGCAGTGAGCACCACTGACCTTTTTTCTGTTGTGCGTCTTGTATAAAGTTGGACACACTTTGGCAGAGAGAGAAGCGAGGGGAGAGAACAAACGAATATAGTGGAAAGACAACAGTGGGTAAGAGTTCCACCTTTATCTTTTAGTCGACAAGGCCAAACCTTTTATGTCAGATACATTAAAAGTTTAATAAACCTTCACTTGTCACATGCCAAACCAACAGAGTTTGCTGTTGCCCGGTGTTCACCATCCATTTGCTAAAACTGTATCAAAGGGTGAAGGGTTTTTCATCCTGCTCCTTCATAAACTTCCCTGTGCCCACTGCTTTCTTAGATTCAGCAATATTGCGAAAGATGCCTTATGTAGCCAAATATTTTTGGCAGGTTTTTAATAATTGATGTGTCTTCATATCCCTGCACCAGATCCAGAAATCTGTTAGAAAAGCCTACTGGAAGTTATTCATGGAACCACAACATCTTCATTTGAGCATGTTTTCCACACTTGAGAATAAAAATCCTTGACAAAGAACAGCAGATAATGATTCTACATGTTAGCTTCGCTGGTGGATGGGGATAACGGTCTAAAGTAGCTCATTTATACAACATCATGCCTCTCCTTGCGAGGAGTAACAGCGTACATAGTTTCATGCTTATCTTTTTAAAACCAAGTAAAAATCCAATTCAGACAAGCGATGATCAGTTCACATGAGTCTTTCTTTTTGTGAACGGTATTCTGCTACTCTTGTTTATGTGAAAAATACTCTGCATACCTTGGCCACAAGGTCTATTGTTCCAAACAATTCCTGAAGTGAAGCCATATTTTCATTCTTAACCGGCTGTGTGACAGAGCCTTGGCAATAAGATCCTCATATCCTCATAAAATAGCATGTTGTTTTTTCTCGCAGCAATAAAATGACGCATACATTTTTAACCAGATGGTAGATTTTTGAATCTCATTTCATGCTACAGAAAGTCTTCATGCATTATAATATATTTTTAATACCTCTGATATTATGGTTAAAAGTTCACATTTCTTTTTCTAGATGTACACAGTATATAACTTGACGAAGGCAGTCATTTAATGCTCGCCTCCGGGTTTAATAAAGCAAACCTTGAGCCGTGTGATGGCAGCTTCTCTCCTTTCAGGGGCCAAACCACATAAATTGTCTGCCTTGAGACTTAATACTTGGCTCTGGGTACTGAGGGAGATTTCATTTGTGGTAGCAGCAACTATTTCATCACCGTTCAAGTGACATCAAACAGGCGGCACACTGTTCCAGGCCTACAAATGGCCGAGTGTGCAGGTGCTCCATCTGATTCATCGACACAGCCAGATCGCTGACAGGCCAAGGAAGGAATTCTCCAAATGATTCATAATGTTTTTTTTATTCAGCGTTCAAATGGCTGGCCTCATTAATTTCATTAAGGCCAGACGGATTTAAGTCATCTTTGTTGGTGAAAAACTTTAAGCCCACCGGCCAGACGCACATCTTGCCTTCTGGCTCAGAAATGGGCTTTGGTGGAATTACTGATACCGCTCAATATTCAGTCTGCTTTTCAATACGCTATCTATGATCCTCATTATTTAATCATTCTTTTATTAAAGTGAATCAAAGTTATTCAAGTGAAAAACAAGTCATTTGAAATCAAGATTTGTAGCATCAATTAAAATGAGATCCTCATAGCTGAAACCTTTGTTTGGTTGTTTTTGTTTTTTTTACATATTTTGTCTTTTGAAAGTCTGAGAACACAAAATAAATATCAGGATTTAAATTTGAGCAGTAAAAATGTTTCTATATGGTACAGTCTGCTCTAGAGCCAAGTTTATTACTCAGATAGTGAATTAATTGCGAATCTTTTCAAACATTCTCTGATTCCAGTTTGTCAAACGTGAAGGTTTGCTGCTTCTCTTTGTTATATATATGATAGTAAACTGAATACCAGGCTTTTGTACTGTTGGTTATATAAAATAAGTAATTTGAAGATGTTAGGATGGGCTCTGGGAAACTAGAATAGAAAATAGAAAATAGAGGAAATAATTGACAGATTGAACAATAAAGGAAATAACAGTTAGCTGCAGCCCTAAACTGCATACATACTTCAATTTCCTTTTCCCCCAGGTCACAGATATTATTCAGTTGGTGTAACCCGAAGCAAAGATGATGCCAGTAACATTGAGATCCTAACAGCGCCTTATATGACTTGAATGTATAACTTTACTGAGTAATAGCAGCTCAGCATCACTCAGACTCAAAACATATGTGTCCGTTTTCCTTCCCTGCATGAACTCACTTGTGTTATGTTAGAGGTCATTCAGCCTACAGACAGTGCTCTCCTGTGTGAACCTCTGCAACAACTCCTGAAAAATTCTGCTTATTCACATGTGTTAAACCAAGTTAACAGAAACAGTGGATCTGCTTGTGCTTTAAACAGTACACACTGGTTCAGAAAATAAAGTGAACATACCAATCGTACTCTCTTCAGTCGCTCCTCTAGTTTCTCTTTAGCCTCTCTCTCCCTTAGCACGCCCTCCAGTCTGCTGATCAGCTCTGCAGCAAACCTTTCCGGCTCCACATGTATATCCTTTGGAATCCGGTTTGTGCGCTGGGGGAAGAAATGTCAAACTGTAACCACTGAATTTCAGTCCCTGCTGTATTGCTGTCAACACTATATGGACTGTTTTACCACCATGACCTCTTACATCCTGTCAGTGTGCGTATGAAGGGACTAAAACATAAGCAGGAAACATTACAGTGGACAATGTCAAGTGTTGAAAATCCAAAGGGATAATACATTTAAATTTTAATGAACCTGCACAACGACTTTACCAGAGTACAACTGAAGCCGATCTTTTCTGACATGTTTTTGTTCCCCCACACAATGCAGAATGTATGCTGTATCCCCATGCCTTCTGTGTGATGTTGAAATAGACACATGAAAAATACATTGCCTTGCAAGCTTGAATGACATCAATATATCAATCTGATAAGTGCGTCTACAGCAAAAGAACACATTCTAGATATGATAGCAACCACAATGTTTTAAAGTGCTTTGAATTGCCTTTGTGTATGAAGTGTGCCATACAAATAAACCTGCCTTGCCTAAATAAGGACATTTATTTCCTCTACTACCTGCAATTATGACAATTCAAGGCAGTTGATAATTCAACTCCTGATTTGGAACCAGTATATATTAAAAACAGTTGGAAAACAAAGTGACAAAAAAAAAAAAAAAAAAAAACCCATAAGCCCTGTCAATATTCTCATTGCCACTGAAGTGAAGTCATGATATATTTGTTGGGGCAGGGAAACGTGAGAGTTAATGCTTTGGGGATTTGTGCTCTACTATACAGTCAATTCATGCATCCTAATAGGATGCTACGTGTGGAGTTTTAATTTCACTCTTTACTCCAAGGCCTAATTAGGGCCAGGGTTTTCCTACCAAGAGACAGCCTAAGCTGCAGAGGGAGGCATCAGGCTGTCACAGGGGAGGATTCATGTCTGCTAGGCTTCAGCGCACACAGCTTAGGAAAGCATCAAGCTGCATTTAGACAGCCTTCTCTTTCACCATCAGCTATTCTTATACTCCATCACAGGCCCTGCGACACAGCAGAACTTAAATATGCACATCTCCAATGGTGGAGCGGAGGAAAATAAGGCAGAGACAGACAGTTAAAGAGAGACGTAGAGGCAGAAAGTGAGAGGGAAGAGAAAGAACCCATGAATAACTCACTGGAATATGAGGTAGTGGCACTCGCCCATTTGCTTTGGCACTTTCGTGCATCTCCCGGCGATGCTGTTTGCGGTATCTGTAAGGTGGAACCCCATCTCTGGAATTAACAACAAAGACATTTTCATAAAACTCATGAATAAACAACAAAGACAGCTTTGAAGTTGAAAGCTTTCTGCTGCATTTTTGCCTCAAATGAACACCTTGTAAGTCTTGATTAATCAGTGCAGCAGGATAGGCATTCTCACAGGCTTATTGTGTCCCTCCTGCACCACAAGTGGTCTGGCAGATTACAGTTACATGTTAACACATCCATGAGTCTGTAATTCCATGTGGTATTGGTCATGCTGGGTTTCACACTCTCCTGTGCTGGAAGCTCTGGACCAATTAGTTGATAACAGCCCCTAATCCATTCAGCTTCAAACACATTTTTGTCCAGTTGTGCAAGCTTTGAAGTTTCTTTGGCATAATTCCCCAGTGCCATCTCTGCACCTAGAAAACATTATTTTAAAAATCGCCTTTCGCCAGCACATGTCCGGTTTGTACAGTGAACTTGAAATACAAGTCCCACGTGCAAATGATCCCATTTTGCAAAAAAATATATATATATTGCCTTTGGCCTCACGCTTGAGCCCAAACAAAGTTACCTGTGAGAGAAAACAAATTCTGCTTTGTTCTTCCCCAAAAAAGGAATGTGACTATAATATAACTTTGGAAACATTTCAAACCTTGTGTCACATTTTCAAAAGAGGTCAGTAGGTTAGTGGTTTAATTTGTGTACACTATCAAACATGGTTTTTAGGATTCCTAATTAGCATTAGAGATTCTATTTATTATTATTCTATTCAATTCTAACAGCTTTTACTGGTTTGGCTAATGAGCAGATGGGACCATAGCTGCTGCTCCTATAGCTTACAGTTTGAGCACAGGTAAAAAGGGGCCATTTCGGAAGCCAATTAAACCCTTCTCTCTCTGTCTTCAAGCAATGCTAACTTATATGACATGCCTTCCTTTTAAATAATAACTGTAATACTAATACTGGGATGATAAAAGTGGGATAGCCTTTATGACCTGGTGTAACAACTTTATGCATGAATGAGTGAATGTGTCTGTGTGTGTGCGAGAAAATACTTACACACTGCTGTCAGTAAGGGAAATTGTATCTGCGTCGCTGGACATACTCTGCTGCTCACTATCGTTGGCGCTGGTGGCAGGAGCCATAGCATAACCAGTGTTGACATAGTATGGGTTGATGGGTTCCCGGCTGGGTGCATGCCTGGAAAAATGAAGAAATACAGGAAATGCTGAGAAAAAAACTAATAGATCATGATGAGGTAGCTTATAAAAATGCATTTATAAACAAAGGCAGTGCAATGCTCTTTAGTGCAATCCTAAATTAAGAACATTCAGTGTTGTTTTATTTTTAATAGTGTAATAGGGAATCTGTCTCTGAAGAAGATCAAGATTGTGTGTGTGATATAAATCATTTATTATATATATCAGCCTCAAAAATCCAGTATTCATCCAGCCATAGAAGCTGGGCCAGCAAACCATTTAAAATGTGCACACAACCTCATTTCCTAGTGTTTAATACTCCATTGCCTCCAATTTGTCAACCCTTCTGATTCTGCCACTTCCTGAAACTCCTATACAGAGAGAGTATACTGCCGCATGCTGGAAAAACCGTATGTGATTGTATTTCAACAGGCTTTGTGAACAAACCAACCAAATTCAAAACCAGAGTATTAATGCCCGAGTATAACCGCAGGTCTATGATGCACATTCTTCTAGAGCGTCTACAGCTACAAGGGGAAGCTTCATTTGACATCCTTTCCATTTACTTTGACTTTACTGAACACACTTCTTACAGGGCTTTGTACACATGAATTAAAGATGTTAGGCATCATCTCTTTTTATTCAAATTGGAATTCCCTGAAGCATTTATCTCCAGCTTTCTCCCTGTTTGGAATGCAGAAGCACCCAGAGTTCAAAATGAAACCTTTGTGACCAACGGATTTTCATTAGCATCTACATTCAACAACAGTGAATAATTACAGCACCCGGTTGGGGAAGAGTGGGGATAAATAAAGTGCAGTATACGGAAAAGGATTTTTAAGTTGAGATTATGTGTGGCAACGTTTATGATCATGAGAAACGAGAGGAAATGACAACGGAAAGAAGCAAACATTAATATAATTCAACCTGTCATTTGATGAAAGACAGATGAGATGGTTTCCAGAACAAAACTGTTTTCCAAAACTCCTCCCAGTACAGAAAAATGGTTCAGTGCTGGTGTTTTGTTCTGAATTCTGTCTCATTTTATTTTCCGTTTTACATCTTATTTTAGCATATCACATTCGTAAACATGAAAAAACAATATAGTGTTTACGTTTTTTAACAACATAAAAAATTAATACAACAATAAATGACATAAAAACACAAGCTTTCCATCATCACCTCAGCCTGAACACATTTCTAATCAGGCAGGAAGGCCATACAAAACTACTTAATTAAAAAAATATGTTGGGATGATATGTATCTGTTTAACTAACTAAATTATCTGTATTCATATCCATATACGAACACAGGTGGCTTATATCAGAAACTGGTAGTTGTTTATTTAATCCAGAAAATGATATGGGTTGATCAAAAGTTTATTAGAAAAGTATTTACAGAATCTCAGAATTGAGCTTCAGATCAATGTTTTTATCTCAAGAGTAAGAGAACTATTTTGTTTTTTAAGTACGGATACTGACACATTTTACTCTGAAAAAAAGGAAAATTCAACCCTAGTTGTTAGCCACATCTCGTTTATGTGGATTTTATTTCATTAATTTGCAAAAAAAAAAATAATTGAACTGTTACTGTAGAAGTAGTTTAACATGTTTTATATCTGCATTTTTTAAGGATACTGGCCATGGTGTAATGGCGTAATGTGTGTAATCAAAACTACTATACTACTATTATTTCCCTTTCTAAAACAGGACAGACTCTATTAATGATACGGTTCAACTCCAAAAACTGAACACAGAATCTTTATATTGGACAGGAAATAATGTCGATTTGAGAGAAACACTGAGCAGTACCACAATTTATTCATCCATTTTGTTATTTCATGTTTTTCTCAACTTCTACTCCTGCATGGAGATTGTTAGGACCCTGAAAAGATCACTCAAAGGAAACACCTTTCATTAAAATTACAAACGATGAAGCCTTGCTTTGAAGCACACAAGTTACTTGAATGGGAACAAAACTGAGCTGTTCAAATTTCAAAACTCTCACCAAAGATTAATGAATGTATAGGTCATTCTCTTTCAAGTCAGTTGATTTTTTAAAGCTGATCTGAAAGACTATTTTATGTCTTTTGTTGCCTGTCTCTGATGTGAGCAGACACAACTGATGTAAAATTTAGTTTCATATAAACCTAGCGAGTGCTGCTAAAAGGCTATTTAAAAATGAAGTGTGTCTTTGTGTAATCAAAGCCAAATGCTTGATTGCTGAAATAATGATGTGAAAATAAACCCAAAACTGTGTTTCACCCACTAATTAAAACTCTGTATTTGTCTCTTATATTTCAAGCAAACATCGATCTCCAACAAAATTGCCTTTGGTTCTGTCCCCCCCCCCCCCCAAAAAATAAAATCAAACACAAACAAGCATTTGGTTCATCTTGCTTTCTGCAAGTGGTTTCTGAAAAGCTGCATGCCAACACTGGAGAATGTAATGGGAAACAAGACTAGAGCCCGACTGATATGGGATTTTTAGTCCGGACACCGATTTTAGAGGGGAAAATAGATAAAAAAATAGACATTCTCTATGTGGATCTTGCTCCAGTTTTGAACAGATATGACTACGCAAGGGTACTCTGAAGGCTGTGTTCTCAAACGAGTTACTATATTAAAGAATATTTAAGTCAAATATTCTTCAATGTGTATAATTTAAAATATTCATTGTCAACCAATTCTAGTTGACATTGCTGAGAGCTGCTTTTTCTCTCCTACTCTGTGCTCCTTGCCAGTGTATTACCACAAGCATTTTTTCCTGCATTAGCACATATTGGATAACATATATGCCGATATGTCTGCAATACGGCAAAAGTGACTGATATATCAGTTCTACATGAGACCAGACCATAGAAAGAAAAGGTAGTCGGTAGGTAGGAGGTCTGCCACTGCCCAGTCAATGTCAAGTCAAGTCGTGCTTTTTTAACTGCCAAAACTGCTGGACTAGTTCTGTCTCCACTGCCTGTATGTGTCCAGTGTTTTAGCTGCAGAGAAGGTCTTCTCTGGAAGGTATTGTATTTCTGTCAGCTGATGCGAATTCCTCCTAACCCTGGTGCTGCAGGCGTAGAGGACAAATATGGGAAAGTTTCTGTAGTGTCTGACAGTGACGTGATCTTCAATTATTCTGCTGAGGAAACGAAACAATAGCTGCAATCACATTAAGATCTTAAATTTCCCTCATGGGTTTAGTTTGCAACAATGACATTATACATACACTTAACATGTTGTAATTGGCTGTTTTTTTTTTTTTGTTTTTTTACTGCAAGTGTCCTTAATCCTCTGTTGAAGATGTAACCTTATCACATAATAAGCTTTACAAGTTTGCATCAGCCGTGACATTAGTTAAGTTGCTGTAGTGAGCAATTAATTACATTTTCATTTGATCTGTCATTGTTACACTTTCAATTGCAAAGACACAGCATGTAACTAATGCTAAGCCACTTGTCATTAGTCTAACATGATTATAATTTCTTATGCCGGAGGATCACAAGTATGTAAACAACATCCACAGTGTAATTACTCAGAGCATTTTAGATCTGTCAGTCTATTGGCTGCTGTGTATGAAGCTGGGCAAACACTCTAAGGATTAAGCCCAGTTTTGGCCCAGAAATGGTCGCCCCAAACTAATTTTGGAATTGGGCAGAATTTCTGCCACATCAGTGGTCACGATTGACAGGATACATAATGGACAGAGCTTCTGGGCCTGTGAAGTGAGGCCAACCTGCATTCTCTGTGGCCAGCAGGGGGCGCTCCACTGGCTGCAAAAAAAAGTTTTGGACAGTCAATTCATTGGCATAGTGCAAGCACAAAAGTTGCAGGTTCTGGATGTGCAGAGATGCTCATTAAAACATTATATAAATAAAAATGCAGTGTCTGCCCAGCTTTAGACAGATTCAAAGCACAAACTACGACTCAAATTCCCGACTTAACTGTCCGAACAGCTACCCGCTGCAATCAGCAATGCATTAAGCCCTTAATTGTTCAAACTATTGTTCTCCTTCTTACTCTCACTCTTACCGTGGACCTTATTTACAACACTCAAGCTATTGATCAATTTATATATGAAAAAATCGTATAACATTAAGGCAAACTTTACCAACCATTGTTATCAAAAGTCAGGGTAGGTTTGCCACAAACACTCATTTTCAACAACATGCTTCACTCAAACAATTACTACTACTACAAAGAATAAAAAAAAAAAAAAAAAAAAGACTATTTTTACTACTCATATGCATAGACCAGAAATTCTAGAGCTCGAGTTTAACCCTGAAAGTTTTGGTTATTGTTGTCCATCAGAGTCAGATTAGTCAAGCTCAATGGGCAGAAATTGGTGTTGAGCTGTACGCAGACATTTTTCAACTGAAATTGGATACATTTGTGGCAGCATACAGGCAGCATACACAATACCAGGACCCCGAAACTGCAGTAGCAAAATGTAATTTAACCAGCATTCATTTTATTATATAAATAATTTTATTTATTATGATTTTCCTGCTGTGACATGTCAGAATGTCTCCCATGAAAACAGCCAATTGATACTTTCTTTTCCTCTTTGCTTCTCAGTGTGTTCGTATTTTCTGTCTAAATTTGGGGACATGGTACAAGCTACATGTTCAAAACTTGTGATTAATAATAATAAAATTAAATTTCATTTCCAATTGATCGATCACTGATTGTAATTAGCCGATATTCGCTCGAATTAGATTGATCAACGATCTCTATAAGTGCAAAAGTTATTAGGAAAGTTATTCAGTCTTTGACACATATAGATTTACTTGGGCAGGCCAGCAATATATTACAGGCCAGAAACTCATTTTAGCATTTTATACAAAAACAGTAAGAGAGATGTTATCTAGTGGATATTTTACAAGCACAGGGCCGGTGCAGCAACAGTTTCGTTTTCGATAGGAAACATCAATAATGAACCTTCCCATGCTGCTGTGAAAACAGAATCCCAGTTGAAAACATTAAAAACGTGAGTTGTGTTCCTTTGATCCGGTTGATACTGCTACTATTGATCGGTCACTGGCCTCAAAAACCCTGATCGGAGCACCCTAAATTAGAGGATTATCATTTGTAGAGAGACAAAAACATAAATCATAATCAATTGCGGATCCCTACCCCCGGGTCTGTTAAACTGATTAATAATGCTAAATAAATAAAAATTACCTTTATTATATAATATAAAAAGGCCAACATGACAAAATGCTGCGTTTCGCCTGCATACATTTTACTATATTCAAATCAATTTTTTTGTTTTTAAATCAACAAAGTTGCTTGCTCTTGACTAACTGTCCCAAGAAATAATTAGCAGAGACATTCAAATCTGTTGCACTGTATGTGCATGATGGACTGCGTGTAAGAGTAAAAAGAAGGGCATATTCACACCAAAGAATGTGTATAATAAAAAAGCAACAGCATTGGAAAGAAGACAAACTGGATCTCCAAGAATCACAAACAGCCACAAAATGCATCAAAGGAGAACAGATAAGGCGCAAGATAGAGGCTAGTTATTCCAAAAAACATCTGAACCATGAATTTAAATCTGAGTACAGCCCTCAAATTACATCCACGTGCATCAAACTCACTAAAAGCTCATGTTTTCCAGCATCCATCAGCAGATCTGGCATTGCACAGATTAGAACATCTGAGTGAAGCTACTTTGACCTTTCACATCGAGAATGGAAAGCATTATTTTAATACTGCCATTGCACACGCACAAAGCCTGCCATCCATCTCCTGCACTGTCCAAAGAAATCACAAACTAGACGCCCCTACTTCTACTGATAGCTGGAGCTATTTGCTCGACTGAAGGTAGTGAGTTGATCGTTCTACTAAAATGAAATTACAATTCTGAACAAGTGTAGGAAATATAACACATTTCCAAATCTAGAGAACATATTGTCCTGTTCTGATTCAGAAAGTTCACAGCATGTGCATTTTTATGATAAAGAGATGTCAAGTTTCACTCTTTTTTTTAAATGTGTTTGACAAGATCAGTTGTCAGAAGTTATAACCATGTTTTATGATCCTGAATCAGAGGAACAGCTATCAAATCAAATCAAACAAATATCCATGGCTTTGATTAGTCAACATTATAACATTTGGGGTATCTACATTTCAATATGGAAAATGCGGAAGTAATATTAAGAAGAGGAGGAGAAAGAGGAAGTCAAAGATTACAGATTAAAGGGTAAGTGAAGTCCAAAAGCTCCTCCTTAAACAAAATCATGTGGAACTATTTTGCTACAAAACCCTGTCCAATGGGAAAACATGATTCCCACAGTACATGCACAAGAAAAACAAAGAACACTAGTTCAACCTTCTAACAAGGGCTGCCTCTGACATTTCCTCTCCACCACAGGTGTAAATACACCATCTCTTATCAGCTGTCTCTTGTGCTACGCTCAGACTCTTTTCATTTCAAACTTGAGGCAGCATCCATGGTATTGTGGGGTTTCAGGTTTATTTCTAATTCAGCACTTTGCAGAGAAAAGCTGTGCAGTTAGAGCTGAAGTGAAGATTGCTGGGAGGATTTACCTGTACTCGTGACTGTCCTGGAATCTCACGCAGTTGGCAACTCGCTGTGGTGCCGTCTCCATTAGCAGCTTCTGAGTAAGCCGGTTGCTCGGTGTGGGGTCACACTCGGGCTGCTCCTCTGGCTCGTGGTCACATCTCCATTCCTCATCTTCATTTAAAGTCGGTAAATAACCTGACAGCCCCTTTCCATTCCCAGAAACAGAACTGTGATCACTGTACAGCTTAGGGCTCTCTCCTCCTGTCCGCGTATATTCCAAATATATGTCTGACTTAAGAAATAAAGGGTAGGTGTTTTCCTCCATCATGGTCTGTATCTCAGTCTGAGCCTGGTCAAACATTGCAGGATCAATGTGAAGCTTCATGACGCAGTCTTTGATGAAGGACTTGGTAGCTGGTTTGATCTGTCTGGAAACAATCCCATTGTTGTCCAGGATGTATTTCTTATAGATAGCTTTTGCCAGTTTTACCTTCTTCTCCTCGTTACCTTCATTAGCTTCAAGTTTGCGGAAGCCACTGCATGCAAACCAGAAGTCCAACATATCTGCACACTCCTCCTGCTTAAGGAACGTCCTAAACAGATGGATGCCATCTTGGTCATCCAGGAGGGAGTGAAGAGATTCTGCCCATTTTAAGTAGGGTGGTGTTGGGGAAGCACTTCCCTCTGGCTCATAACCCAGGTCCAAGTCAGGCCGCCTGGGCGTCGCCACAGACGCCTCACATTTGAGGCTCTCGTTCTTTGAGGAGAAGCCCAGGTTGTTGTACTGGCGTCCATCACTGCACACCAGCTCACCTTCTTCCCCTGGGACTGGAGGTCTGGGAGCATCCTCAGTGAAGCTGCCACCCAGGTCTGCGCAGTAGCCCCTTTTGTCGCTTATGCTCATAGTCCCAGCATCCATAAACCACGTCCTGGTAGAGCCCACACTGCACAACAATTAGAGCCAGACCTCTACTTATGCCACTGCAAAAAAACTCCTGCAAGGAGGAAAAATAGATAATGAGACGCAGCTTCATCACATCATTGAAAGGTAGAGTAGTACAAGCCTTGACAGGGCAATACTATGAGTAGATATTTTAACACTCATTCTCAGATTATTGGCAAAAAACATATATGCAACAATTTATTGATACCAAGTACAAGTACATTTTTAAGACTGACAAAAGGTTGATCGAATATGTGCCACAGTTGCCATATGCCTGGTTGGAAGAGGACTAGTACCTCTGGGGGGATATTTTTTTAAATTCTGCACAGTTTGCATTTCTATCAGATTTTCATGGAAAGACTCATCATGTGGCCAGTTTCCAGCTGAACATTTAAATGAATGCAAATTCTGCAGGAATCCAGAGGAATTTAAAATGTGAGACAAGCTACTGTAACCTCTAAAACCAGAGCAGCTTCTGGTTCAACATTAAATGCAGCACATTCTGTACGGTAGGCTGGTTATGCCTGCTGTTTACAGTCTGATATTACTAATATATTTATACATTCTTTAGCAATTACAGTCCTGTGAACTTACATTTGAATTAGGACAATAATACAGTAACACAATAACTGTGGAAGCTGGTGATCAAATCAACTCAAAAAGCGATAACACAACAATACACTATCAAACTTTCATTCACTTGGTCTGTGACTGCATATTCTGCATAACATCTGCAACCCTAAGCAGAAACTGATATCTGGAGTCATCACGTTGATAATGTAGTTTAAAAGTCTTTAATGTGGTTTGATAGTCTATAATGGTGCCATACTGACTCACACTCAGAGTGATGTGGCTGTGCTGTGGTAATCCAGGCCAAGAGTCGTGGCTTTAGTGCTGTGTGCAGCTGAAGGCAGCTTTCTACTAGGCAGTAGTATGAATATAGTGCTAATGTAGTTTTCAGTAATCTCTGATTTATATGCATAAGCATATCATTACTTTGCAAAGCTACTCCAGTTTCATCCAAATTAGTATTAGTGTATCATCACAATGATAAATTCACTTGAGGTTTACAGTATAAATTTAATAATGCAGCAGCCTTAGCCTCTCTACTATTAGCTGATATGAGTAGCGCTGCAAATAAATGATACTTACTATTGATCTCGTGTTATATTTTCATCCCCCTGCTATCACAGTGCACAGTCAGCTGCAGAGTAGCATATCTAACGATTTTAGGGATTGAATGTCTTGTTCAAGGACACATCCTGGTCCTCATTGTCCCTGAGCATCTTTGCTGAACAAAGACACAGCAGTAGCTCTGTCTCTACCTCTACGGACACCACATACAGCTTATGATTAAGCTTCCTAGATTGTCAGTCACCATTTTTATTACAGATTTCCTGATATAACCAGTGCCACAGTGCAGAAAAAAGGAGACAATTTTCTCTGGCTGTTTCAATTCTCTCATCCATGCAGCTGCCAACATTGCTTGACAGCTGTGGGCAGGACAAAGCCATGGTGACCAGCGATGGCTCTGACCAATCAAAACAGGAAGAGTAAATGGTTGATTAAAACAAACAGCCATGACTTCACTGACGGATTAGGGATTAAAAATAAATGTATATATATGTATATATATAGATTTATAATTTCAACCAGGCTGACAAGTTGGGTTTACTCTAGCTGTGATTTGAAAGGATTAATATTTCTTTAATTGCTACCATTACATTCCCTTTAGGGCACACCCACTCTCTGTCGTGTTTAATACAGATACAAATCATTTCCCTGATTGAACAAAGAGTACAGACCCAAATTGTCAACAGTACCTTTTCAGTACCAAGTGTGAACAACACGTGCACTGTGCATAAGGCCAGGTGTGTGCTCGACTTACAACGATAAGCATAAAATGTGGGCACTTTGGATACAAGCACATTTCCTCCCTAGTTTATCAATGCTAGGGATGTTCCGGTCCAACCAGCAGTCACCCTGCTACCTGTACATAATGATGCATCGGCACGAGAGCAGTTTCCGTTAGCGCATTGATATTTAAATTAACGGTTCTGCGGTCACAGGTGTGTGGCAAGACAGGGCTATTCAGGAAGGGTTAGACCTGATTTCAGCCGCTCAGAGCCGGCTTCGGGAAATGTCCCCCTATTTTTTTTTTTTTTTTCTAAAACTGTATCCGTTTGTTTCCTCTGAAGTGAGCCTCTCATCACATTCATGTCTTGGCCTCTCCAGAATGAGCAGAACAGCAGCGGCTGGTGGGGGAGGGGAGCCAGAAACAAACTCCGTACACACACATATATACATACACACTCACACAGAGAGCCAGGCCTTTCAGCAGCCGACCGACAAGTGCACAACTTTGTCACACTATTCACCTATTAATATCTGTGCTACCTCCGCTAACAGCTGCTAAACTAAACGAACAACACAGCGACCGCAGACATTTCCCCTACCGTCAGAAGACACAGAGGGAATCCCACATCAATTTCCGAACAGATTTACAACCAGCAAAGCGATGGCACATATCTCCCGACTACCGCAATCCCAGTCTCTGTGCTGGGGGAGAAAAAAAAAGTGACATCTACTTTACCGGTGGAAATCTTCTTGCTGCTTTCGAGTGCATCGGGAATTTGGACCTGCACAAGTCACCGCCGACAGTGTCATAGTTGCGAATTGCAAGACTTTAAAAATAACAAAGAAAACAGTCCGCTCTCCACCTCTCCATGGCTGTCTCTCACTGTCTGTGCGGAGCTCAGGCTACACAGCAGATGATGTACAGCGCCTCGCCCGTTCACTAAACACATTACCACTGTTTAGTTTTGGTACATGTGGTACACTGATTTCTTCCCTTTTTTGTCTCCCTCTCTAAACAATTCAATTTAATTTAATTTAATTTTTGCATTCCTCCTTGCTCTTTGACTTAATATCTACTGAAATATAGCTCAACATTTAAAGACATATTTCAATGTTGAGCCATGTTTATATTTGTATTGTTGATTATATCCTATTTATAAATTATAAGGCTGTTTCTACTAATGCAAATTATATTATTGATCATATCAGATCAACAGCCCACATTATAATAACAGTCTACTGCAGATATGTAGTATTGCATTTCCATAAACCTGGTGGACTACTATTAATGCAGCAGAAGCAGAGTTTTCCAGATTGTAAAGTTCCTTTAAAGGACGAGTGTGTAGAATTCAGTGGCATCTAGTGGTGAAGTTGCATATTGCAAGCATTTGAATACAGCTCAGCCTTCCAAGCATACAGGAGAAACTATGGTGGCTGTGGAACTCGTGAAAAATACTAAAGCCAGTGCTCGCTTGGTCTGTTCCTGGGTACTCTAGAGAAACACTGCAGTTCAACATGGCCTCCTCTGTGGAAGAGGACCCTTAACCCTCAACTTCATGTTTGGGACCCTTTTCGAACAAAACATAATGAGACATATATGATGCATATGTGCTATCTTGAGTGTTGCAAATGTGAACTTTGAACAGGTTGGACAACAATGTGCTTTGGAGACAGATAGTCTGAAGGTGTTCATTCCAACCAAAGACCTAATCAGATGACTTCACTGATTAGTTAACATGAAGGTGCTTTATCAGCTCAATCAAGACTGGCACAAGTTTTAGTTTTCCTGTTGTTAGGTGGTGCATTTTTACCACCAGGGAGTTTCACTAGAACAGCTGACATGGTGGTAAATACAGCAGTAAACTCAGGGAAACTCCATGATACCTAACTCATACCCTGAGTTATTCTATTTTACTTCAACACGTGATTGACAACTGGCCACAGTCTCTATCACCAACATGCATAATGACATAGTAATAACATTTCCAGGCTTCCAACAATATGCTAAATTAATTTCATGTCTCATTTCCAATATACACAATGCAGTGATGTTTCATTGGTTTACTTTATCTGTCATATCCATTGGTGACTTAGCCATTTAAAAACAAACACTTGTTTCCTGATGTTATCCAAAGTTCCCTTGGAGATAAAACCAATAGATCTACAGTGAAAACCAAACTAAGCAGTAACATATGCCTTCTTGTAACATAGGCAGTGTTACAAACAGCCATTTGCCCCATTAGACAAAATGTAAATCATCTGACTGTTCTGTCTGAGAATAATGATAAATGATCATTTGGCTTTATATACTGTAACAACTAGTACTAATGCTTTGCAACACGACATTCAGTGCAACAATGATTCAACTCAAAGAATTTTACTACACTTAGCAGCGCTGTTAGATACACTTCATCGTGTCATTACTTCTTGACTTTGAAGTACAAAGAGTTAAGTACAGACCAAATGCAGCAATAAAGGCTGTGCTTTCATGCCAGGCAATCATTGAGCAGTCACACAGTTTTTCTAAGATGAAAGGCCAACATATGACCATAAAAACATAAAAACATTTGATTATGTAATTAACTCAAACCATTTGGGAGCACAGAAACGAGTAGGAATATATATTTCACACTCTGTCTCATCAGATCATCTGAATTGCCTGCTCAAGCCTAGAAACCTGTTAAAGTGTGCAGTGTACACAGTGCTTACAATATTTATGCCAGCAAGATAAAACGTGAAAAACACCCAACACACTTCAGCTTCCTTGAGGCAAAATTGATTTTGGGCAGCAACAATTTACGCAGCCTGATACTCAAATACTCAGTTTTTCTTTATAGCACCAATACGTTTTCTCTGACCGTTTACTGTATTTCTATTATTGTTGTTTACTTCCAATAGCACATCAATGTTCTCACAACATAGATGCCAGAGGTCAGGAGTTTTTCCACTAGAACATTCTTCCAGCCATACTTTTTTATTTACACTTCCTTGTTGATATCTGTACAGTGTTCCATTTTAAACACACACTATACAAGTAACTATAAAATGCTTGATTTTTGGCAAAAGACTATTGAAAATAGACTGACGATGTAACAGTTCATCTGATGAAACACACAAGGCATCTGTTTCATGTGTGGGTGGGTGAGCCTCTTCAATGCAAAGAAAATCAGGTCTCATAACATTTATTTATGAAATTGTTGCTACAATGCGCAAATTGCCTTTGGGCAAAAATATTTTAACACTTCCAACACATGCCAGGCATTTTGATTGGTACTCAGAAGTTAAAGTACATTATTTATGAAAAGAGCTTCCTCTCACTGAACATTCATTATGACAGTTAAACTGGGTCTCACTGGGTCACTATCAACAGACCAGTTGCACTGCTGCAAGAGGTGAAGAGAGAGTTACTGTCTTCCACTTGCAAAGGGGCTGAAAGCTAAAGACGGACCAAATGCTTTTGGTTTAGTGGTTTTCTTAAAAGGTCCAGTGTGTAACATTTAGGAGGATCTATTGGCAGAAATTGAATATAATGTGCATAACTATGTTTTTATTAGTGTATAATCACCTGAATCTAGGAATCGTTATTTTACCTTAGTAGCCTTTTGTATCTACAGACGCTGTGGGTTGGCTTCCATGGAGGCCGCCATGTGGAATGGACAATCCAAAAACTGGCTCTACATAAGGGCCACCGTAGTTTCTCCTTGGTGCTTGGAATACCATAACTACACCGCTAGATGCCACTAAATCCTACACACTGGTCCTTTAAGTATTCGGTCTGTGCCTGTGTGTGTGTGTGTGTGTGTGTGTGTGTGTGTGTGTGTGTGTGTGTGTACACATTGACCAGCTCTTTGTGTTTACATTTTGTAAATACTTCATATGAAGATAATTGAGAAAATGCTGATTTACATGCAAATCAACATGTTTTACCTTGAGCTTGATTGTCTTCCTCACACATCCTCCAGCAGTACATCCACTTACTGAGGATTCCATTGCATGGTTATTCGACACAGCGGGCAGCAGTAACGTTATCATCCCTCTTACTGCCCTGACACCAGTAGGCCTGGCCAAAGCAGAAAGTCGCCATAAAAGTTTGTCTTTGCCATCCATTTCTTCCTGAAGAAAAAAGAATATTTGTTAAGTCTTATTCATACACAGCAGAGAATAATGAGGAACTACTGTATATTTTAATTTTGCAATGTTAAATTCATCCCTTGTACAAATATATATATATATATATATATATATTAATTTGAAGATACCAATATGAGTAATATACTATATATATTCTTTAATAAAAAAATATTTTGAAACTCTGGAAAGTAGATACGTTTTTATCATGACAGTATCATAGGTCAAGCTTCATAATCTTTCACACCATAAACTGATAAGGTAGCATGGTGCCCTCTACTGAAACAGAGTTTTCCAAACAGTGACTTTCTGAAAATAAAGATTTACTCTAAAGGGACACATTTCTTGCATGAGAGTATATTTTCTGTTTAGCAACACAGGAGGCATACTGATGGAGACAAAATATACTGCTTAATACCGCTTCTTAAAACTTAACATCTAGTAACACATAACACGTGAAGCCCCACTGCTCAGAGCATTAAGAATAATCCATTACTTCCAGGAGTCTGAACCCATCATGAAGCCTCAGCAACCAAACTTAATATGATACGGCTGATTAAAGAACTAATTCCATTGTCATCCATGTGAGAATTGTTGCAGTGCATAAACCGCCGACCCTGGCTTCAGTTTTACAAGTTGATATGGAAGAGAGCGTAGGAGTACATGGAAGAATCATCAGACAGGCAAATCACATATCAAGGTTTCAGGCGCAGCACGCTCTCCAGCTCACCCCAGCTTTGCTGATAACTACACTAAAGCAACGCTGAATTATCAGCGGCGCTGTTTTAAACATCAAAACTGTGGGCAGAACCTGGCATGATCAAATGGAGGGGAGAACTGATGAGGAGAAACAAGGAAAAAGGAACACATAAATGAATACAGACAGCTTGTGTGGAGTTCATAAAGAGGACAAACGATCTTTCACCAGCAGCTACAGCTTCACAGTTAATCAAAAGAGGAGGGCTATGAAAAAAAAACGACCATACAAACTATAAACACAGCTTCAAGACGGCTGATGTGACTCCACATCAGTCAGAGCTGGGACCAGTCAAAAGCAGTGTCTGATGTTGATAGACTTCCCACACTCAGAGGTTCAAAGTTGCATCACTAATGATATACTATGAGATAGTTTTGGATTTTAATTTTTAAAGTACTCCATACCCACTAATGTGGAATCTATTATCTGTGGGCTACTGGGCATCTAATGAACTCCATGGATGCAACAGCTTGAACTACTACTCATGAGCTGTACCCATTTCTTTGTTTCAATTCAAAATATACATCTTTATTATTTTTGTATTACTTTTATGGCATTTTGGGCTTATTCAGTCATTAACTATGGAGGAAAATTTAATCCCTGGCCCCTGGCCGTTTCAAACCGAGGTTATTGTGAATCTTGTACATAACATACATTTCACTAATCTACCAGGATTATCATAAATAACTTTTTCAGAACATAGACAGCTGTGAGTACACAGACCTGAATTACGATGACAGCTAATAATATTTATCCATCGAGCTTTACTTGTTCCAAGAAAACTTGTTTGCTTGAGACTTTTTCCCCTTGTATCAGAATATCAAATGATAATGCATTTTGACATCTATTGGCATCCTACTTTCACACATTCACAAACATTTTCACAGTAAACTGCTGTAATGAAAGGTTTCAATAACGCAAGGGCAGGAATTTGTGTGACCAGAAGGTTGGTAAACATAATCTCTTGAACAACTAGCAATGGCTGGGTAAGGAGGGTGAATGAAAAACATGCTTCCCTTCCTCGGCAACTACAAACAAGAAGCCTTAAGCAAGTGGCCCAGTGGAGCTGCTCAGCAGGCAGAGGAACAATAGGAGACGTTTCTCTTTCAGATCTGAGGTGTGACTGTATCAACTAGACCTGGTTATTTATTAAATCAGCTAAGCTTATGTAAAAGTAATATTTTGTGTCAGAATTGTTAAAGAAATGTAGTTATAAAAACGTTAAACGAGTTATTGAGAGTCATTTAGATCAGTGATATTCATTTTTGAAAACGGAAAAATGAATTCTGTAGTATGTAGCTATAAGAGTTATTATAATCATGTCTCCAAAAGAAGGATGAATCTAAATATGTGAATAATTTCAGTTTCTTATTAAGAATTATACTAATGTTTGAAATATTTTCAAATTCATATCCATCCTGCTGCAGTTAAGGGCTACCAGAGGACATTTTCATGTTTCTTAATTCAGTCCTTTCAGTTGTCTTTTGTTCCACCTGTCAGTGTGGATTTAGACTCCCTAGTAGGCCTTGGCTGAAATAGGCTTATCTCTGTTGAAGACTCACTGATGAACAAAAGCCCATTAAGGAGTTTAAATGAATGCTCCCATTTTGAGTGCACACAATAGAGATTTCTATTTTTCAAATTGGCTGTCTTCAAAGAATTCACGAAAAGTTAAGACAAACAAAGAAACAACACGACATCTTTCAAAGCCCTCAAAGCTAAAAACTGGGAAGATTAGACTAAATTGAAACACTCAGAACCATAGATATGATTAACCAAGGTATTTAGAAAAGAGGGTTTAAATAAAGTGTGTCAGGCATGTTAAAGGTATTCAATGTTTGTTTTAAGTTCTGTAAAGGATCCGAAGAGAAATATCAAAAGATTGTCAGAAAATGTATTCTGGAGTCCTGCTGATGTCCTTTGTCCAGGCTGAATATATCATGACTAACAAGACTTGGAGTGGATTAGGCACAGAGGATTGAACAATTTGCAGACTTGAGTTTATTTTGCTGGATACTCTAGCTCACAGAGCACCATATTACCACAAGAAGGGAAAAATCTTATTAAAAAAGGCCCATATTTCCTATGGTGATATAATACCAACGACATACATCCATAAGCATGTACCAAATGGCGAAAGTACATTGTCAGACATCTGCTGGCTCGAAAAAATTCAAATTAATTTAAGCGTCCAGTCTATCGGGTCTTCAGTAGTCTGGTCATGGGATGCACATTCACTGGTCAAATCAAATGATGTGCTTCGGTTTTGATGAAAGGGAGAACAAAACAAAACCAGTATGGCACTGACATGAAAACGATAACAGACATAATAGAGCGATAAACAATACAATGGAAAGTTACCGGTAACCGTAGTTTTCACCCTCAGAGATTCAAAAGCAGACATCATACCTGCTGATTTACCTTACTGTGTGGTTCTTGATTTTGTTGTGTTGAATCGCAGACTACTCCCACCGCTTTTCTATGGATCGAGTATAGTCCAACGTAGTCTGCAGTGAAGACTGCCGCCATCTTTAATCACAACAGAGTCCATCTGTCGATGGTTCTTCCCTTTCTACCCTCTCTTTCTCTGTTCCAGTCTCTCTATTCCAGCCCTCTCTGTTTGTTGTGGGGGGTTCTTATTTTCCATCCAACATCAAACCACCATATCGACAGGCTCATGGGCCGCCCAGTAGGGGGGCAGCTTGAACATGCTGCATTGGCTGTTGTCCTTTTCCAAGCCGCAGATTAACTGACCACATTTATTTTTCTCAGAATGATACAGACAGCCTGCAAAAATTATTTCAGCTCTCAGGCCTTTGATTTCAACAAGCCTGGCCTCAAAGCTTCTCCATGACTGTCCCTGAACGCATCTTTTCCTCAGATGTTCTGATTGATGGGATTTGGACCCCTCTTTGATTGAGGCCACATCTGTATATCTACTTGCAAATTCACAAATGACAGATTCGGATCATTTAAACCGAAAAACATTTTTTTTTCCATTTACAGCTGCTCCATCATATGTTACTAAAAAGAACATCTTCTTTTCAAGCAAAGCTCAGTTGGAATTGTCTGATCTCCTCAACTGAAACTAAATTTGACCTGAGCAGCCTCGGACTACATTTATAAGTATAAGCAGACTGTCTGTCTGCTTTCATGCAACTAATGCATTTCATTTAAAGTGACACTTCCTTTTTGTTCCTCCTGGTCCCTTTTTGCGTTCAAAGCTTGAATGCAAAAGCGTATCTTGTTTACTGTCACTGTTTTGTTCCGCCAAACACTTTCAATGAACAATAAGAGGAGTTGAATTTCAAAATGGTAGATGCTCTCACCTTCCTCTCCCGCTGTGTGGCTCGTCGGATCTTGTTTCTGTGGTCCGCCATGACTGGGCGCAGTCCCCTGCCTGCCACTCTGCAATACTTTCTCGTACTCATAAACCTGTTTCTGATTCTTACTAGTGTGTTGCTGAAAGATGAGCATCTTTACTTTATATTGCAGCTTCAGCCGTGCGACCCTATTGGAGGAAACAAGGACCAGATGATTGTCTGCACAATCGTATTGTAGCTATGGTAACAGACCCAACAGGCATGAGTGATGTGCACCTAATTGCTCTGTACACATTAAGCAACAGAAAGGGAAAAAAAGAGAAACATAAATTAAGCAGTGTTGTGCCAAATCAAATGAGTTTCTAAGACATTACACATTTCAGCCCCAAAGGCGTTTCAATGAACTGCATCACAAAGTGGTATTTTATTAAAACTTACATCCCTCTGTTGTATGAAGTTGTGAAAATAGCCCACTGAATTAAGGGGTGAATGCAAAGAAAGGAGGAGAACGATGGATGAAAAGAAATTTTGGAGAAAGGGGGAGAGATGATATTGCCTTTGTTATGTAGCTTTATCTGCTGCTTACCTTTCAACTGGATTTCACACTTGCGTATCTGGTTGTAGCCAGGGTCAGATCCAGCATACCCTTCTCACAATGACCAATTTTCTCCTCACACTGCACCAGCAAAGAGTCACGGGGTTGGCTGCCACTTGCATTTGTCTGGATTGTGATGAAGTTAAGCACATTTTAGTCCCAGATTTTAACGTGTCAGTGGTCTGTACAAACAACTACAAAATAAAACTAATTACAAAAGACTAGCAGGAGTGAGATCTCAAGATAAACAGCAAGATGCCAAAGGGGTGAGCTCTTCAAAACTAACTTGAATGATCTGATAAAACTAAGGATGCCTGATATGTTATTCAAGAACATTTTGTAAGTTGTACATTATTATAGCAAATATTTATAACTATTGCTTTAAAGAAGGTTTTTTTTTCTTTCAGCTCATAAATCCTTGATTGTAGCTAAGCTGATGGTCTCAGCACTGTATACCCTGAGCTAGTTAATCACAACTTCTGTGGCATTGTAGCAAAACTTTCCGCGGAACAGAATACTAATAATAATTAATTAAATTTATTTTTATTTGTATAGCGCCAATTCATAACAGACGTTATCTCAGGACACTTTTCAAATGGAGCAGGTCTAGACCGAACTCCTTATAACATTTACAGAGACCCAACAGTACCACCATGAGCAAGCACTTGGCGACGGGGGCAAGGAAAAACAGTCCGTGTATCTTTTGGTCATTCGATTTTCCTTTCAGAAACGGGTATTAAAAAACAGACAAATAAAACTGAAATACTTTTTCATGGTCAAAAAGGGATGAGCTAAATTAAAAAAAATATTCGATTTTCATTTTCTATTTCATATAACAACAAATAAAATCACTAGAAAACTGAAAAAAGGCCTGTTTTTTCATATTCTGAGACCGGATGTTGTCATTTACAGGACGGTGCTGTGTAGAAGAAACAGTAGACTAGTAGACTGCGGTCAATCCAGCCGTGAGTCCGATCTCCGTGGTCAAATCAGCCGCACTTAAATGTCGAGTGTACAAGTATTCTCAGCATTATGGTAAATGCGGAGAAACAGCGTATTTACTTCCGGTTTTCAAAATAAAGGTATTTAGAACAGTAAGCTATAATTCGAACCTACATTTAAAATAAAATATGTTACATTAAAGTGTTTCATGCGCCCCTGATGAATAAAAAACACTTTATATCAAGTATCTTTACTGCACCAGGGTGGAGAAATGCCAAAATAAAAGCATAAAAGCTAAATTCTAACATTATCATTTCATTGCTACTTAGCTATTGATTCTTTCAAGTTGTGCAGTGTCTTTTAGAAACAACACAGTCCTCTAACTTTCTAAAACAGTCTATCAACACAAGTTTTGACTTTGTGTTTGGCTCACAGCCAGTTGCAAGACTTATGCAGGGATAAATACATTTAATCTGATTTAGAGTGATTTTAATTGATGAAGATACTGCTGAGGTACAGAGGTGGGCCTGACTGATGTCCTGGTATGAGCTATGACGTACACAGTTCCTCCATTAGCATGTCTGCTTAAGGGTTTAACAAAGTCGTGTTATTGGTAAAGTAACTAAATGTATTGCAGTGCATACTTTTAACTTGTGCTGATATCCCCTTGCTGTGTGCACACAACAGTATATGAAGATGTCTAGCACTTTTCAGATTAAATAAACACTCAACATTTATAGCCATTATGGCTGTGCTAACATGCTTACAGAAAAATAAAGTATCATTATACAGTATATAATTTTGCTGGTCAGTTATCATGATTCCAACAGAAAATGCACTTGAGTCTCACTCTTGTTTACATAACAAAAGAGCAAGCTCTGTAAAGCTAAGGGCAAAAAAAAAAAGCAATATTCTTACAGATTCAGGGCACAGGAGTATTCTTGCACAAGCGCAGCAAAATAAGATGATTTTTCAAAGCAATACACCAATAAATAATTAAATAGATTGGTGCAGTAATACTTCTTATTCTCTCAGGGAGTGAGCTGCTTGGTGTTCCCACATGAACAATGATGCCCCAGATCTATGTGATCTCTTGTCTGTAACATATTGTGTTTAAGATAAAAAAAAACAAAGAATCAATTCCATGTGACATTAAAAAATTGACCACCAGGCATTAAAAATCTCTTCGATTCACTCAAGGATACTGTTTTATCAACCATTGGTACAGTAAGTTGCTTTTAAGACATTTTGTTCGATAAAGCTTCATAGCATAAATCCAAACTAACAGATAAAAAAGTAAATATTCATTCCCTAAGAGGTCTAGAGCTCTACAGTCAGCACACACACTTCCTCCAAAAACCTTGGAGATGTAGTGTGTATCTAGAATTTACCTGAAATTAGCTGGACTGTGAGAGAAACTGTGTCACACATCAAGGTGCTCTGAATTAAATCAACCTATGAAGTTTATTCAAGAGAAGCCCCTGTTTTTGGTCTGTGTGCTTACGACTTGCTGTAAGCAGGTCAAGGTGAATACTCCACATCTGTGATTTTCACTGCTAACTCATTCCCAATGGAAATGAGTCTTATTCATTTTTCAAACAGCCTCTAGGATATCTCATCCCAAAAAAAAAGGGTGGGGGGGAAACCCCTCAGGCAAGCATTCATCTTTGATGTTTTGAAAAGCTGCAGTCGGGCTTCATGCATATTGTATTGCTGAGAAAAAGAATTGCAAGCAGTCTACTTGTTCTCATAGTTATTAGCAATGCAAGCTCAGTCTCAGTCTGCACAATACTGATTCAGAACAGTGACCTTTCCTTACACCATCAGCCTCAGAGACAAGAGTTGGTAGACTGACACGAGTTCATGCTCCCAGTGAAATGAACCTGTTCAATCATGGGGACCAAATGAGAATTGATTGAGCATAATGCTCAGGGGTCTTTTAGTTTTAATGACTCAGTGGCTTTTCCTTTTATCACCAATCTTAAGACAAACTTTATATCTCCCCACCACTTCTAAGATTTAAAGGTAGACCATGTTACGCTGTGCATTCATCCTACATTAGTTGTAATCAACTTATATTTTGTTGACCTGGTTTATTTCTCAATAAGTTAAACTAATTAAACAAACAAAGAAAGAGTAGAGACTGTAAAGAGCGAGCCTTTGTGCTTCTTTGTTGCTGACACTGGAGGAAAGAGAGCAGAGACCTCTGCTTGCTGAAATCTGCAATAGAGAGACACGTTGTTCACACATGGTAGATAACAGCCTCCCCTTGTGGCCGAATTACAACAATACATCTATACCCGACATTAGTCTCAGTAGCTCATGTGGATCGTTTGCATGTTGGAGGGAGGAAGTAGAGCCTCGGCAGTGTAAAGGACAATGACTTTGGCTACCGCACCCTCATATCTCTGGCAAGCAATCGTTGACATGGTTAATAATAGATCTATAAAAACGGATAAAGACGTCACGTTCAGCGCAGGCGCGGTGGCCAAGTGGTAAGGCGTCGGTCTCGTAAACCGAAGATCGCGGGTTCGAACCCCGTCCGTGCCTTTTGAAGACACCACTGCTCTGGTGAGGTCCAGTGATCCAAAAGGTGGATTATAACATCTGAATTCATAGTGACTTTGGCAGTTGTCTTTAACAAACAATAGATTCTGTCTATACCAATATGTACAAATAGGCAACTATAATTGCATTTAGATTTTAACACATCAGCACTAAATATCTGAAAGAGAAACACTTTATTTTAATCAATTCACTTGACTGCCCTGGTGAAGTTCGAGAACCAACCATTCATATCCATATAAATATACAGTATACTTTTGGACAACAGTGGCTCCACAAGAGGCACTGTGGGCCTCACCCACTCAGGGCGAGCTTGCACAACAATGATGCACCGAAAGTCCCAGTGCAGTCACTTAACACAAAATGTCTTAAGTCTTATTCTTAACTGAACTGACAACTGGATGTCAGCCATGTCAGGCAGATGATGTGGGTATTTTTAAATATTTCTAAAGTCACCCAAACAAACCAAGTCATATGCTGCAAATGGAAAATACTGCTTCATTGTTGGAGAGGTTTGGATACATTTTTGATACCCATATCTATACCAATTGAAATTTTCCCCATTTTGTAAATATATATTGTCATTATAACTCCAAGAGATTATCTCTTTTTTTTGTTGATTCTTTAAAGCATTATTTCTTGAAATATTGAAAAGTACTTCTGAGCAATTTTGAATATGGTTTGCATACAAAAGGACACTTACAAGCCTTGTAAAACCTGTTTTTACATGTCAGCCTGAAATTTGGGATATTTGTGGACAAGAAGGTTGGGAATCAGTGATATTTTAAGAGTTTTAGTACATATTTTAGATTTATTAATCAATTATTTGTGATGTTTACATACTAATTTTCAGTTTATGAGAAGCATTAAATAGAGGTTTGTTTAAAGGACCTTTTTCCCAATATTCCATTAAGTCTATGAAAATATGTTTTCCCATCACATTGTGATATTTCACTATAATTATGCATACTCAGCTGACACTCGTCTGACTAATACAGTTTCCTTGGTAACGCTCCGTGTTGCAGCATCAATGATTCATACTTGGTTCACTCTGCAACGTATCATCACTTTTCATATGCTGAAGTGACCCTTTGTGAACTGACACATGATAGGAAGGAAACAACTAGAAGCTTCTGCAGTGGTTTGCCAAAATCTTACACAGCAATATCCGCTGCACAATACCAGCGGATAAAGTTCAGCCTCCAGCTACCAACACAGTGAGGTGAAATGCTGCATTTAGCACATAAATCAGTAAGTTTGGTCATTGAAAATAAGATCCAGATGGCAAAATTGCAAGCTCTGAAGTTTATTCATCATGATGGTGCAAAAGGAAACTGCTCTAACCATATGAACAAATAAAATGCACCAAGGTTTCATGCACAAGCAGATCTCCCTGTGTGTTTCCTCAGATGATACTTTAATATTGTGGTATGGAGGTGAAAGGCAAGTTGTTTATGAGGAATTTGAGGTGTAAGGCAAGTTGTTTATGAGGAATTTGAGGTGTCAGGCAGGTTGTTTATGAGGAAATTTGTGCTCAGATAGTCTAAGATTTTCATGTGAGCTCTAAAAATGGCTCATAGGTATTGCGCTGTCAAGGCCATTGTGATTGACATCTATTAGTAAGCTCATGCTGCAGTGCCAGCAGCTTGTTTCCATGGTAACCTGTGTGATTTTTTTGTGAACAGTGTCAATAATAATAAAAAACACTGATCCCATAGTCCATGAAACAAATAGAGAGAAAATATGAGCACTTAATTGTTTTATTTATAGTTTTTTCCTCTCCAGAAGGATTTCCTGCCATTGAGCTTTTGATTGATGACTTGACAAATGGAGAGAAACCAAAAGGTAAAATGTTTTAAAATCCAGCAACCTTAGCTGATATAGAGATTATTAGATATATTATATATTCTATCTATATATCTATATATTAGATAGGAATCACATCTCAAAGGAGTGTTTACCATAAAAGTATATGTGTGCCTACATCAGCATATGACATAATCTCACATTAGTGACAATGAGTGTGTCACATTACATTTCCTCTAACAAGATTAAGAAAGCAATTATCAGAACCCTTCTAAATAGTTCCCCTTATCACAGCTCCTGTTAAAATTCCAGATATAGCAACAGAATAAGTGACCGCATTCCTTATGTTTTAATGATCAAGCTTTTACTCTTTTCCCAGTGTTTTTGCGGCACAGATGGGTGGTGCGGGCCTGGAGAAGAAAACTCTCTTACTTCTGCAAGCTGGTTTAAAAAGCAGAATAAGAGCTGCCTTTCCAATTAGGAAACAGCACAATGCAGGAAATGTGCAGTCCTAAGCAAAAAAAACATTTGCCTCTAAAATTGGAGCTAATTGGCCAGACGGGGTCACTACAAGCAAAAGTTAAAACTTCTTCACCTTAGTCTTCATTCTCAAATTATTTAACACTGTTTGGCCATATTGCCCATATTACTCACCCTCTCTTCATACACCTTGGGGCATTTTCTGTCTGCTTCATTTATTGAACAGCTCATAAAATAGCTATGGTGGAATCCCTAGGTAATGAGAGATGAGGCCCACATTATAGATTTAGAGTTATATTACCCTTATATTCTCTAAATGAGCTGCTGAGTTGTGTACAGATTCTTTGTGTTTTTGTTCCTATCCTAAACCTATTAATTCTGAACTGAAAATCTGAATAATAAGCATACTTTGATAACTATTATCACACATATTTTACTCTGTTATCATGTCTTCCCTCTTGAAAATGTATGGACAAAATTACAATATGGTTCAATTGTACAATGTATTGTATTGATGTTTTGAATATAATTTACTAGGCCTTCAGTCCTGAGCATCGCTTTCTTTGTTAATTCTTTATTTTAATCTCTTTTTAATTTCTCCTCTGCCACCAGCAAAGGAAAACAATCTTCAAAGAAAAAGAAAAACACAAAGGAGACTAAAATAGGAGGAGGAGGAGGAGGAGGACAAAAGAATGCAATATATTGGCAGCAGGTCCAAGTCTGCTGTTGGCTGCACACATTGATTTCCTTGTTTGTGTGGGTGGTAGCATTCTGAACTCAGCTGAGATTTTTACACAGTAAATGCAATGGATCCCATCAAAACCATGCTTCCAACCAAAAGGACATAGTCAGTACTTCAGTAGAAAGCTGAACAAACAGACTTGGAGACCATACTCACCCTTGAAACAAATCAATCAAAATCAACAACACACAGTACAACTGAACACAGCAGTCCAAACAGGCATACAGATCTTAATGCTGGTAAAGAGTCATACTTTGTTCTGCACATGGCTGTTATTGTTTATGTTTTGAGCTGTTTAAGCCAAGACTTCATTGTGTGCCATCTGGCTCTCGGCTGGGGAGCCAAACAGTTGATTAAAGGACGCAATTAGCGTGGAACAGGTTCTGTCAGCTCAGCCGGCAGGGATTAAAGAATGCGCTCATTCATTGTGACAACCACGCTGTCATGCATATGTAGGATAGGCGACCAGCATTTTCTTCAATCACAGGATTTCCTCAAGAGCGCCGTACTGCTTCAGAAATGTTAATGTGAGGTCAGAGTTGTTTTTAACCGGGATTTGAATGTCAGCTGCAGCTGATCTCAAATACTAATATTTGGTAACTGTGAAGACAAAGGAAGATAAAGGATAAACACCTGCAACTGAGTGTCGACAATTAAACTTGAGGTGAGGGACGGGGACTTGAGTAGACCAGAGTTCTGAACTTTTCAGCAACTGGCAGACGTAAATATAGGAGGAGATCGTCAACAAAGACAAGTTTCAAGCTTCAATGGCCACTTCCGGGCAGCGAGAAGAGAAGAGAGGAGTGTGCGGCAAGAAAGCCACTCTGAGGGAAAGCTCATCAGCCTTCGCAGGCAGCAGGGGAAAGAAATGACCAGGATTCAGGCTGCTTTCATAGAGAGTCTCTCTAGGGGTCCACGAGAGACAGCTGCAAAGAAACAATCAGATATTTACCATTCATCAAATTCCCCTTCAAAAATGTCACAGCAGACACTTACAACCCTGTAAGAAATGCCAGACGCATGTTAGTCAGCTCCGATTAATTCTCTGCAATGGTACTTTTGGTGCATTAATATTTTTGCTTTAGAAAGCACAGCTTGTGTTTCACCATCGGGGATACTAAATAGATGAGGGTACTGCAACTGTGAAGCAATTTTTCAGTTTCTGATCACCCGACCTCAAACAGCTGCTGCACTGACTCATTCTGTAATTCAGCAAAGAAAAAGAAAGTTTTAAGCTCCACAAAAACAAGGCATGTGCATTATTTTCCTCTTTATGCTCATATAACACAGGCTGTTTACATGTTACACTTCAAATTAAGCATTTGACATATAATTTGCAGCAAGCAGAGCCGTGCAGAAAACCTTAATTGCAGCGCCGTTCAATTTTTCTTTTCATTTGCACAAATTAGAGGTAGAACAACCTACACAAACAGGAAAGCACCCTCTTGGATGAAGCGTCTGACTTCCACAACTTCAGAGCTCATTTCCCGCTGAAGGTTGGACACAATCGGGCAAGTGTTTGTGGGCCGTGACCCAGATACTTATTTCCAGTGCTGGACTTCGGACACCGCATCACGGTCACATCTCCCGTTTCAGTCCACACTCGGGGGGGGGACTCATTCAGCATAGGAACTGTGTTTCCTGTGTGAACTCAAACGATGCTTAGGAGCGTATAAACTCACTTGAGCAGTAACATCTGGGAGGACTCTGTTTACTGTGATTATAGACATAATAGTGACTTGTGGGTGTCAGAGGGGAAATTAAGGCTTTGACTTGACAGTGGGACTTTCACCAGTTTGATCCGAAGGAGGTTCCCAAACCAAAACCCAAAACCAACTGTGGTGGACCAAAATAGAGTCATTTACTGCACGTAAAACATTCAAACCCACAATCAGTAACAGACAACTCGTTTAAAGGAACTTTAGTATAACATAAAATTACTTTTTTTTACAAATCTAAATGACAACAATATCAGTCTTTTTTTTATATCAATAAGTGCAAACTCTTTTAATGTTGAGGTGTGTACCCATAAATGCTCAGTTCCTCTAGTGGCAGTGTGCTTGAAGTTTAGTACTTGTTAATATGGCACCATCTACAGGCCAAAATCTATACTTCACGTATTACAAACCAGCCAATGTCCTGCCGTTTTTCTGCTGTAGAGGCGTCACACCATGCAAAAGTCATAGATGTAACGTGTTTTTCTTAATCCTTTAGTACTTGCGAGGAAAAGAGCAAACTGTGAAACAGCTTATGAGGTCATGCATAACATTATGGGTGTATGAGATCACTTAATAGTTATTTGGTGACTGTAGACTTCATGGGAGAGTTCTTTTAAGCACAATCTGATACCATGTTGTGATACTATTTAAAGCTTAACAGGAACTGAAGGCAGAAATTTTACACTTTTTTTGTAATAAGCTCAGAATCAATCCGCTGTCTGTCATGTCCCTGAAATAGCAAAGACAATGCAGCTGAAGTATTAATACATGGATTTTGGGGGAAAAAGGGAAAGAACCTTGTGTCACAGCAGACAGTAAAACCTCAGTTTGCCTGTTAGGTCACTACATTTCCATAAAGCTTTTTTTAAACCCCAATGAATGAAGTCTAGTCACAGTCATCCCCAACACACAGGGAGTCCGCTTCACCTTAGTTCTAAGGCAGGCAGGCCCTGCACAGTATTTCAAGACATAAAAGTAATGTTGTTTAGATTGGCTATCTGATCTGTCCCTTGCTGCTTAACATCTGACCTTCTGGCTGAGCCTTGTCTGAGTTTCAACAGAGGAACACTCAAGTTGCCTTTTCTTTGTGTGAACCTACTGCAGCAGAAATCCTCAGGACTTCCCAGGCAGTTAGAGGAAAATCTAAATGTAGGACTTCACTTACTGAAAACTCTTTTGGGGTTTTAATAGTAGTTCTGCCTTTTATTAAACATAACATAGGAGAAACAACACTGTGCACACAAATATTTAGTGTCTTTGACTATTTTAAAGCAATGCCACTACTACTTATTATTACTGTAACATGTTTTATTTACAAAAAGGCACACAGGACAGATGCATTTATTGTGTCAGTAAATATTACACATTGGATGTTCGTAACCACAGAGAAAATCTGGCCATAGGGCGTATTTCCGGATGAAAGGTGCTCTTCTCAAACATTTGGCAGCGTCTCTGTCGCACTTGCACAGCAGCTTTTCACATTTGTCCTCCAAATCATCTGAAAAGGAACAAGTGATTGAATGTGAATGAAAAGAACATGTTCAATAAGTATGCATTTTTCGTGTGTGTGTTTTGTTTTCTTCATTAGCCTTGTGAATTTTGCTGTGATTACTTGTTTTAATGCTTGTTAAGTTTCGGTTGTTAGTCTTACAAACAAGTCCAGCTGTATTTATTTTGCCTCCTAATTTGCTGCAGTTTGCTCAGAAAATTAGAGTAATTTGGCAACTGAAAAGAAACACAGTTACTGTGAATATTATGAGTCAGTTTCACATTGTATTTATTCATAGAATATCATAAACAACACACTTTTAAAATGTGTAAAACTCATTCAGGGTGTTGCTATTTACACACAGAAATTACAGTGGTTTATGAGGGTTTACCATTAAGTAGAAGCTGTATACTTCCTGTCTTTCCCCTCCAATTAGCTGCCTGCATACAGTGTTTTCATAAACACTATGGATATTTGTAGATCACACACAGCCTGATCTGTGTCTCACTGTCAAGCTAACCCACATCAGTGTGTTATACTGCTAAGCATCCTGTTTTTTATGTGCTACCACTCAAAAGGTAAGCAGCAGCTGTCTTATTTTCCAAATACAAACACAAAAATATTTGCATGATCATTAATAATGCAATACCACACTCAGCTGTCTTGTCCTCACACGTCCACTGATACTGGTCTGTTTTAGTTTGGCAGCCATGATGTTCTGCAACTCCATAACAGCAATCGTGTCTGTGGCAACACCTACAGTACAGTACAGAAAGATGAACAATGTGATAAAATGTTTTATTTTGAAGGCTTAGACTAGACAAGACAGGGTCAAGAAAGCAGTAGGTGGGTAACAGCTCTGTGGTTTAAATCACTCCACGGCTATTTTAAAGGCAGGCCAGCATCACCACATGAGTTTTCACAACTGATAGTTAGCAGTTAACTGGTTTGAGGGGGTTCGATGTCTTGCGGCGAAGAAGGGAAAAAAAGGAGGCGGCAATTAGGATTTGGGTGTGGAATTTTTGGACCTATTTTAAAAGTCAATTGGACCATGTGAGTCTGCTCAATTTGGACACCATTCCCTTCTTCCATCCCATCGCCCAGCATTTGTGGTTCAGCCGACTCATTCAGAAACTGTGCGTGCTCGAACAGGAAGTAGGATGGCTGGGAAGAACCAAAAGGCATCCAGGAGGAGGAAATCATGTGTACACACCAATCCGTGGGGTGGAAGGCTAAACATCACCCCTGCATACTGAATTACATCTTTTGCCTCACATAATGTATAGGTGGGCCATATATAGAGTCAATTGAATGTTTACATTTTGGTACACGCTACCATCAGGTGTCAGCCGTGATATATTCTTGAAATCCGTCTTGAATCTGTCAAGTTTGAGAAGAGTGTGGTTAAAGCCGGTGCCTCACCAGTCTGCCCTGTCCCTGGGCCAGCCTTGACCACCCAGTCCACAGTAGCATCCATACATCATGTATGCCAAGGCAGATCTCCCTGTGCTACACTTGATGGCTCCTGCCAACTCCAGTAACCCTCTTTTTGTCCGCTGGGACCTGCGTGTTCCCGCAGATGCCATGGCCACTGCAAAGAGAAGAAAACAATCAAAGAGGAGAAACAAACTCATCTCTTTTTTCACGCTTCCGCATCGTTTCCTGTCCTCCTGGTTTTGTATTGTAAGGTTTTGATATCATGATATTCATACGCTGCTGTCTCTCTGGCACATCTTTACACAGTCAAAACATAATTTTTTGAATTAGATTATGTCTTTCGTCCAACCTCTACTCTCGGTTGCCAGTTTATTAGGTACACCCAGCTAAAACTAATGCAGTCTAATACAGCAGCCTTGTAATGAAAGGCTGTAATGCCAATAAACTGGCAACTGAGCGTATGAGTTTCCATAGGACTCATGGTACTTTATCCATGAGTCCGATGGAAACTCACAGAGCCACAGTATATGAGCAAATAGTAAAGGAGTGACTTTACACTTACTCACATCTCACACCTCATGAACAACAGAGCTACACTCTGCCTGAACACCTCAACCAGGTCCACGCTTGAAATGATGGGAAAAGTGATAATATTTTAGAGAAAAATACATTTAGTTTGTTTGCTCCCTTTCACTGAATCGCCGTGCATAAAGTAACCAAGTAAAGTAATAAAGTGAGTAGTTTCCCAGAGAACAGAACTCCCCATCTACAGCCAATAGTAGCAATCGGTGGCTGGTAGGTTGTAGGAACATCTTAGGTGATCAAAATCAAACTGCACACTGAAATCACATCTGTATCCACAGGCAGTTTGGGCCCTCAGGGAGAGCTGAAACCACTTATGCTAGGTGTAGAGATATTTAGCATATCCTATTCATTTAGTTCTATCTGTGAATTGGGATTCTTATTATATCATATAAAACTGTGTTATTCTTGTAACTGTGTAATAATAATGATGTCTTTTTTGTGTGTAATATAATTATGTTTTTGATCAGTGTTCACCTTTTAAAAAGCATTAAAACACTTTGAAAAGTGAACAAACTGGTAATTAGTTATGTGATCCAGCTGTATGTATCACACCTGTGAGTGCTCATGTCATTTTGCAGAGTGAACCTGAAGAAGCTACAGGCGAAATGCCATGTTTGTTCCTGACAAATGTGCTGTGGTTAATTCTGAACCTCACAAGTATTTTGTGAGGTTCAGAATTCATCTGTGTCCCTAAAACAGCTTTTCAGGGTCTAGTGCAATTCTTCACTACCGAGTAAATAATCAACTTACCTGATAACAGGAGAAGTATCCAGTAAAAAGAAGTCATGGCATGCAACAGGCAGCTCAACTCCACACACGTCTGTGAGTGTAGCATGGAGTGGAGAGCTTTTTTTAGATGCTGTTTGAATAATCTCCTGAGCATCACCATTGGCCAGAGGCTAATCCAGTGTTTGTCAAACTGTGCTCCCCCTACAGGAACCAGCCTAAAGCTTTTCACTGCTTCTTCTCAACTCTATAGGACCAGTGTTTGTGTGTTTGCATCTCCATCACTTTTGGAAGCTTTATGATAATCAAATATACACAGGTAGCAATGAAAACATTTACAATTTAAGACTTATTTCATTCATGTATTAACATCAGCTTCTTGCCTTAATGTTCTTTTAGTCTTAGCCATGGCCTCTTGAAATCACAGACGGAGAAACTCTGGGATGTTGCATTGATCCTCCTACACCACAACATTGAAGAAAAAGTTTATAAAAACCTTTGTAAATTTTGCTAACCAGATTCTCTCTGGATGATCATTTTAATTGTACACTGATGGTTTACACATAAAACCAAGTTATTTTGAGTTTTTCAAATATCCTAAGCTCATACATTATATATTGGGTACATAATAGATATGGAAATGTAATTAAAACACATACAAAAAACATTCAAGAGAACTTCAGGGATAATTGTTGCTCGCACAGCACATTTTTAGTTACTGAAAGTGCCACAATATGGTTCCGCTTCCTCACAACAAATGCACCCAGACGTGTAGATTATAGTAATTACACTCTAATAATATAGTTTTCATTCCAGACTCATGCTTCTTATCCATCTTCTTCCCATGGTAAATAAACATGCCAGCGGGGTGAACAGAACTTAAATAAAACAAAAACTCAAACATACTCTCGCTATCATTATTGTCAGTATGATTTACTGAGCAGCACTCCGAGTGTCTAAGTTTAACAGCTGAGATTGTTTATTTGACAAATTGTACACCTGATCTGAAAATGGCATGAATTGTGTCATATCTTTGCTTTTCATCTTTTTATTATGTTTTCTGAGTGTATGGTTTCAGCTCTGCTGCACTGGGCTCTATTGTCATTCATAATGCGGCAATGTCAGGGCAGCTAAATCATAGGAGACACACACTCTGGGTTTTGATAACAGGGGACATATTCACAGTTATTTTTGTGATTCAGTTCCTCAGTGATGCCTCTGCACAATGTGAGATAAGCGCCTCCTCCTGGCAGTTATTATAGCTGCCAGATGACTGCACTGCATGAGAGGAGACGCATCTCCCGATGTTATTCTCAGCTCAACCAGTCCATTGTCGTAAAAACATCCAGCCAACATTTAGATCATATCAAGCTGAACACACATGACTGAAAATGTTAATGTCAATGTAAAGCTTGAATAAGCGGAAAAATGTGCAATGAACTGAACGGAAAGCATAATCCCAGACAGTTTATAGTGTTAAATATTGGTTTTTCTGCCATTTGCCTCCCAGAAGGCTGAGTCTGAGATAATATGTGAATGACAAAAGCATTGGGCAAGAGGCAGGCTGAGTTTCAGTCTAAGACACCTCCTGATGATTATGATTTTGAAATATAATTTTTTAACTACAACAAGCTGAGTGCTTGGGAAACAAATATACACATAACACAACTCTAATAGAGTGCTTTTAAAATGCAAACTGACTAAACTCTTTTTTTCTGCTGCTTCACAGTTTTTTTTAGGAATTTTTTTTTTTTTTTATCACTGGGTGTGCTGTAATCTAAAACTCCACAAATATAATAATTAATCAATCAAAACTTGAGCACATGATCTGAGAGGCTTGTGTGTTGATGAATTCAAAGAGGAGACAACCAGGAAACTCACCGTCAGAGGAAGACTTGCAGGAAGGAGAGATGAGGATGAGAGGAGTTTTCTTTGCTTCAGGCTTAACGGTGTGAAATGATACATGCTTTGTAGATTTGGTTGAAGAGATGGAGACAGGGTGTCTTGTCAATATTAGCTAAGTGGAGACAGGGTGTCTTGTCAATATTAGCTAAGTACCTGAAGGACTGACAATGTTCCACTCAAGATGGAGTCCTCTGTATGGACTTTCAAGGGTGACATATGAATATTGACAAATGCACATATGAAAGGGAAAATCAATAATGTGTTGCAAATGAATTAAATGTGGATGGATGAATATATTATAAATAATAGTAATTTATTGTCACATTTCTATTTATTCTCTCTTGCATTTGATAATAATGACAGGGAAGAAACTCCCTAAATATGCTCTGAAATGTAGATGGTCAGCCTCTGTGACAGATGACTTGATGAGCTTCTCAGTCAATAAGAAATTATATATTCTGAGAATGCATGCTGTCAGCTTCATTTTGTGGACGTGGTACAAAACAATAATGCAACTGTATGGATGTGTGGATCAGAGGCAAATACATTTGATCCACACATCCATACAGTTGTCAGTCAGCTACAAGGACATAATTATCATTGACAAAGGTCACAATGTGACAAATATACAACTTAAATGTATGCATAAATACGCTTGTTTATGTCATTTATTTCATTTTGTGTACTCATAAACTATATTATATACAGTGTTGGCAGAAACTCATTACTAGCAATTATATTACTTTTCCCAGTAATTAGTAGTGTAACTAATAAATAATTAATTTTAGTAATAATATTACTCCTACAAAAAATAATTAGTTACAACATTACTTTTGTTGATTGAACTGATTTGAAATCCAACAATCCAATCACATCCTTGGATTTATTTTTGTAATTGTGAAGGAAACTAGTTTGAAAAATGGAAACATTCAGCAGCTGGAAATATTCCATTCCTTTGACTTAACAAATAAAACTGGATTTTAATCGTCGTAAGTCTGAATTTGGGGGAGAAAGGAGACAATAACCAATTTATAGGGAGTAGCAGAAAAGTAACTGAACTAGTAGTGTAACTAATTACTGTTGGCAAGGAGTAATAAGCAGAGTAATTATATTAATGAGTAATGAGCAATATATTAAATGTATTTAGTAACTAGCCCTTCATTGATTATATATTGGTTTATTGAGTGATGCTTGTTGAAGTAGTCATTTTTCACGTGAAGCGCTGCCATGTCCTGCCGCTGTGTGTGGGTGGCAGCACTGCGCTGGAGTACACGTTCGCTCCACCTCACATCACACGCAGAAGAAGAAGCAAAGGGCGGCCTTCAGCGATACAGCTCATCTAGCCAAGTTATTTTAGCTTTAAGGAAAAAATCCCTCTCCCTCCTTTTAGGCAACCGACGTAAGGTTTGTGTGGAATACAGATCCATTCATGTAAGTATGTACGGCAGCCTCTGTTAGATAAGGTGTGTGATATTTACCAAGTCTCAGGCGGGAGCTGAACATCTTCTGCTCGCTATTGTTTGCGTTGGGGAACTAGTTTAACTTGGACATGCCTATGCTTTGTTGGGTTCAGTCTACTTCCTAGAAACTTGCCCGGGTAACGCCATGTAGCGGGTTAGGTCAGTGTGTGGCCACCGCCGGAGAAACCCGCTGGGTTTGATCCCCTCCGCCGGCCGGGGTCTTCACTATGTGAGCTACACGTTGCTAACATTTGCTAGCAAGATGATGACGAGAAGTCCAACGTTTCACTCGGTGGTCCCAAACCGAGGGTGACACACGTGCGCTAAATGTCATGCGCCCATTATCGGACACCTCCCTGCTTTCCTCACCGACAAAACTTCTTTTAAAAAAAAAAAAGAGGATGTTTTTTGTTTTTTTTCCTCCTCAGGTGGTGCGTCGAGTTGTTATAGAGACGTTTGGCGATGACAGCTTCTGTACACATAAATGTTTCTAGAATAAAGTTTATTTTTTTTAAAATCTTTGCTGAACAAACCTGGACGGTCGCACCCCGTCCAGAGCTAACATCATCAGCATCTTCCTGCTTCGTGAGTTGTGTGTTAAACCCCAAAGATCCTCATTTGACTGGCAGCTAGTTTCAAGAAGTGTGTTAGGAAACAGTCAACACTGTAATGGTTATTAAACATCAGCTATGGCGGTGCACGGTTGACTGTTTGACTTGGCGGTTTTTATTTTGTGCGCTGTGAAGAAAACATAATGACATTATAAAATGCTCACAACAACGTTAAACCCTGTTAGCACGCGTAAGGCTAATGTTTGTTTATCTGTGTCTTTTGAAACACTTGTTAAAAAAAAAAAAAAAAAAGAAACATTAGTCAGTGCTGTCGAAATGTTGTCCGATATTGGACCTCCTCCTCTGAGATGTTAGGATTAAACAGTTTCCCGGGGCCAATAAGCGTACCGTTTTTTCTCCCACAGCTTCACATAAGTAGTTTTCCGTGGAGGTAAACAACTGTTTTTGTTTTTGTTTTGTTTTGTTTTGTTAACGTTATCAACTCGTGAGCTAACACAAAAATGTTGAGCCTTAATTTCCGGAACTACACGCGTGTCGTCACTGTTAAACGCGGAAGCTGTGAAGACTGAAGGCAGACAGGCTGAAGCTCATGTTAGACGTTCAGTAATATTAACCCCGAGCATCAGTCAGACAACCAGTCAGACAACCTGCTGAAGGGGATTCAAAGATAACCAAGGAGTGTTGTATTGTTGTCATTTCTGTGCCAGTGGCTTTCAGAAGTGAAAATAATACACTGTGTGTGTGTGTGTGTGTGTGTGTGTGTGTGTGTGTGTGTGTATATCTATATCATTTCAGGTGCTGACTGAGGAGTGGACATTAAAACACGCAAACATGTCTGGAGCGTGTCAGGACAGAAGGAGTCGCTGGCAGGAGATTCAGAAAGGCCTACAGTTCATCCAGTATGTGTCATCTTTTAGGTCACTAGTTGTTAAAGTCGGGGGGGGCTCTCCCTGAGTAACTGAGTAACTGAATTTTTATTAAGACAATCCTCCCCAACCCTAATAAGTAAGCGTGTGAAGTGTAATGACTCTTCTGATGCTGTGTGTGTGTGTGTGTGTGACACTTCCTAATGTGACCATACCCACTACTCTTTATCGACATCCTATCTTGGACATATCGAACAGGGTGACTAAAACATCTGCTTGGATTTCTCAAGATCTTATCGGCTATAAGTTCTCGTCTGCCGCTGTTGCTGCCTGCGTTTTGTGGGTCGTTTTGATCAAAAGGCTTGGGTACCTCTATGGATGATGCAAGAATGATTTGTCAGCCTGCATTGTTGTTTCAGATCAGCTGACAGCTGATTGCTGGCTTTACTTTAGTTTTTAATGTGGGATATTTTCCTGATCTGAGCTTTGTATTCATGCATCAGGCAGACTGGCAGTATAGGCGCATATTGTTTTAGGGCTATGCCAGACAACGCAGCGTTTCATTTCATCTAACCTGACAGCTCCTTTTATTGTTAAAACAAAAGTGATACTTAAAATACTACTCTGCACGCCATCGCTGTGCAATCAACTCGAAACTTTACTGATGTCACTTTAATGGGCCATATTGTTTTAGATCGTGTCATTTATAACGTCTCAAACTAAAGACTAATGAAATAATAGAAAAATAGAAATTAGATTGAGTCACAACATTAGCCGTTTACTGGTGAGTCTTTAAATGGAACACGTTTGTGTACATGCTGTTATCTCTCACATCCAGCCTTTTGTGTTGTGACTATATTTTCTTAATTAGCTGGAATCTGAAAAAGGGCTCAGCATGTCTCGATGAAAGTGTAATAATCTAAACTAGAACTTAGTTTACCCTCATAGTCCAGCATGCAAAAGAGGAAAGACAACTTTTATTGCCAGACAGCAGCAAACAAAACAGCATCACAGGGATTATTGCACAATCTTCCATGATGACATTTAAAGGCACACTCTTTGATCATATACTGGAGCTAGTTTTAAGCAAGTCATCTTTAGCAGTGTACTAAATGATTAATAACTGTTGCTGGAATTTATCATGACAGTACCTCTAGTTCTCTGTCAGTGTGTTATACTACTCTATTATACAACTCTATTATTGTTCCACTATATACAGCCTTATTTACTGAGTTTTTTAAAGAAAGTTTTGGTATACAAAAACAGCAATCATATAAATAATAACTGATAATATGTAATATTACATATATTTTTAATGCTGAGTTGAATCTATTTTTTGGAGAGTCAAGGGGTTGTTTACACAATGTCACTTTTGCTGACTAGTTTGGATTCAGCAGCCAATGCTGTCAGCACCTGCACACATAGCAACGTATCAGACCACAAACACACACGCACACACACACCCACACACCTTCCTGTCTTTATGTCACTGTGTCTTAAGTTAACATCGCTTTTTTTCCTATGACAATGCTGTATATACTGTATCAACTGAAGCCCTATAGCTATTCATTTTTTTCATTAGACTAGGGATTAATAAGAAGTAATCAGTACACTAATTGAGAAGTTTCAGTGAGTACTTTGTACTTAATGAAATGTTATAAGCTCTGAATTCTATTTAAAACTGTTGCTTCCTACTCTAGTTGATGTCTTTTTTTTATTCTGATGACACTAAAGGTTTGTCACATGAACCTTTTTTTTGCTTTTAGATCAACACTCCCATTTCCTGGAAGTCAAGAGCAGTATGAGGTAAGCTATGTAAATTTGAATGTGGGTTTTCCAGCTTGCATTAACACTTGTAATGAGGACAGTGACCATTAAAGGAAACCTGTGACACTGTTTTTCCTAGGTGTGTCCGACTGAAAGGACAAATCAGCTGCACTGTGTATTTAGCACTGATTCGGTTCTTTCTTTTCTTTTTTTTTTTTTTTCAGGTGTTCATTAAGGATCTCGTGTGGAATCTTTTTGGAGAAGGAAATGACGTGTTTAAAGAAGGAGAATGGACAAAATCCATCGAGATGTACACAGAAGCCTTGAGTATAGCAGACTATGCTGACTCAGAAGAAATCTGTGTTCCAACAGGTTTAATGGAAAAGTTGTATGCAAATCGAGCTGCTGCGTACCTAAGTATTGTTCCGGTAAGTAGCTGGTGACTGTCTCACACTCTTTCATTCCAGGTCCCTGTCCCTGTCCCTTTCTCCCTTTCTTTCTGTCCACCAAAACAGTTTATAAATATAGTTCAATAGTATGAGTTCAAAATACAACAAGCACTTGTTGGTCACATAAATTAGTTTGCTATATAAGCCACCCTTTAAAATGAAGTGTCCACGCCTTAACAGTGACTAAATATGTCAACCATAAGCGCTAGAATCTACCATTACATCATTTATCAAGAACCACAGACTGTTTGGATTGTGTACACACAATTTTTACACCATTTCAAGCACTTGGCATCATAAAAAGACTAAAAAGAGGATCTTTATACCAGTATTACTTTCAGAGTTAGCCAACTCTTCCCATGAAAGCACATGACAATACTTAAGAGGTTGTGGAGAGTGTGAAGCAGGCTTGAGTCTTAAACGTCCCACATTGACACACTGTGCTCCTCCAGTGTGACAGTCTTAATTAGCCTGAGGAGGGGCAGGTTAAATTTACATTGTGGGGTGGGGCTGACCTCCTTAATGCTGTCTGTGAAATTTCATTCAGTTTTTATCAACACATGAGCTAAGATTTAAATTCTCGTGCTCTATACTGTTCAAAGGTGGCAAATAAAAGCATACTCGGGTTCCTCTTAAAAAAACACACTCAGTACTTTTTCAGGCGGGTATCAATTCCAATACCATCCAGTCGACGGTTGCACTTGAACGCCCTTTTTGTCCTCCACATATATTGTAGTGGTACATTCTTATATCTGTATCATTTGGTGCCATATGACCGAGCCACTGCTGGCATATTTCACATCATTTCTCAGTTGAGAAACTCAACTGACAACTTCCATTTGGGGAAAAATTATGTTTTCAGAGAAACATTCAGTCCCTCTCCACTGTCAGTGTTTGGCTTCTTTGAATCATGTTACATGGCAATAAAAAAACACTCTGTTGTCTTCTGGGAAACCACACCCATACCTGACCTAACGCACTGAACATGTAAAGTCAATTTATGATCAAAGAGCGCTTTGTTTGTTCTGTGTTCACTGCACCACTTTGGTTAAGTAAAGCTTCTCTAACTGGGACATATTGTTTTTCTCAGGGACTGTACGACCAAGCATTAGAAGACTGTGAAAAGGCTCTCCAGTTGAACGAGGGAAACTACAGAGCGCTGTACAGAAAAGCAAAAGCTTTGAAGGAGATGGGGAGACATCAAGAGGCCTATGAGGCTGTCGCCAAATGCTCTCTAGCAGTGCCTCAGGTAAGGGCCAACGTCTGTGTGTTTTTGTTCATTTATTCAAAATGTGCACACACTTTTTTTTTTTTTGGTCTCTGTAAATTTGACAGAAATCAAGCAAATAGTTAAAATGTCCAGGCTGCCTGCAGGAACAGCACATACCCAGTGGAGTCATGATGTTTCTGGCATGTTGACTGACATTGTAGTCCAATAACTGCTGGATGAGCTCATAATCAAAAAGACACATGACTGTTAGTGTCAGTGGCCTTTTTTAGTTTGAATTTCAGGTAAAACTGATGAAGATCCAACTTTGGTGTTATTAGCAGCCAGTTTGATTTGTGCTGTAGCTGTCCCCTCCAGGTTTTTGTTGTAGTTGCCAATCCTAATTTATTAAATTTTTTTCTTACAAACACACACTTACGCCTATATAAAGCCTCACATCACACTGCTTTACTGTCCTAGAGTGTTGTGTAATACTGTATATGGAAAGGAGTGTCTGGAGAACTTTACATGACCTCACTTCATCTCCAGTGTATGGTAAAATACAGGTTTCAACCAACAACAGCACTTTAGAACAATTGCTAAAAAAAACATGTAGAATGATAATTCCTGATTTAAGAAAAATATCACAAACATACGTACAAAATAAAATCCTTTGCAGAGGAAAGAAAAAAAAAAA